ATACTAATACTAATACTAATACTAATACTAATACTAATACTAATACTAATACTAATACTAATACTAATACTAATACTAATACTAATACTAATACTGATCAAATTGATACAAATACTAATGAAATTGATAACCACATTAAAACAATTGACAACACCGACAAAACTGATAATAACAAAAATAATAAACCCTCCTTGTCACTTAAAAGAAACATTTCATCTTTAGAAGATCAGATCCATAGTTTCGGAATCAAGAAGGCGACATTGAATATCAAAAAAGAAAACGATTATTCTGCACATATCGATAAATCAAACACCCTTGATAACACCATCTCCAGAAAAGAAGCTGTCTCCAGCTACAATGCTGGTTCAAAAGATAAGCCAATCCAATTGGGTGAAAGCAGTGAAACCGAAGTGATTGCAACCCAGGAAGCTCAGACAACTCAAACCACTCAAGCCAACCAACCTGATGAGGAACATCCTCCAGTAATGAACCAACAACTCGTGGAGTCTGTGGAGTCTGCCAAATACTCTGACTACTACTTTGAAATGATATACAAACACATCAAAGACACACGCGATGAAGTAAAATTGTTGCAACAAACTACAGATATTTTTCTAAACATCATGGTAGACTATGCTCCCAACCATTTTATTCTGCAGAGAAAAGTTTGGAGAGAATATAGAGTGTTCTTGTCGAACCTCAACGATATCATCAAATTGCAGGAAGTAAAGAACGAGACTGCAAAGAAGTCGCCTTTGGTTATCACCAAAATCAAGCCCTCGAACTTGATACAGAGGTTGTTGCAGCACTACAACAACACCAGCACAAGCAAATACATCTCGCCATCGACTGGAACTGAGAGGGGGATCATCACCAACGTAGCCTTCAAGAAAAGACTCCCACTGGACTATTTCAAGGTCAGCATAAGCATGTTTTGAAGGTTTCTTTCGCAACACTATATATTTTTCTCGCTCAAAACGCTCTATCACGTAAACAGTAAATATTAAATAAACTCAATTTAAACCCAATTTAAACTCAATTTAATCACAGATCGCATCCAACAAAAGAACCAAAGCTGCTCTCTTTTCTTTCTCCACCACCACCAGCTAGCTCAAAGGACTATTTTGCTTCAGAGCTCGAGCCCTTTCCAGCAGCAGCTTCAGTCGACGTCTCTTCGTCTCGTTATTGCTCGTTATTGCTGTTTCTAGGGAGCAGCCTTTAGCCACAACTCGCTTTCCAACAGATTAACAACAGATTGACAACAGATTAACAACCTCTAATCTCTAATCTATCTGAACCACAACAACATTTGTTCTGTTATCAATGGATGTGTTACCTACACTTTCTGGCTCCAATTTTTCATTGTTCAGTGCCAAACTAAATCAATTGAAAACGTTTTTCAACAGTAACTTCAACCAACATGACAATAACAGTGAAAAGTTTTTGCAATTGTTAGAGATGCTCAATGTGAGTCACAACATTGAATTGAAAATGAAGGATTCAAAGATCTCTACGTTAGAGCTGGAAATTTCCAATATTATAATGGTTTTATCGCGCATTGATAGTGCTGCTGAGGCAAATGATGCCATGAACTCTTCTTTGCTCAATCGCGTCTCAGCTGAACCACAACAAATACAGGCTGCTGACGATCTTGCTGACGATCCTGCAAGACATTCAAATGCTGAAGACACATTCTCAACTTCAGACCAAAGAACTCCAATTGAAGAAATTGGGAAAAAGTCTGAAATAAAAAGAAAAAAAATTAAACTGCCACCAATAAAACTAAGGGAAAGAACCCGCCAAAAAAGTCCCTTTTCAGATTTAATAAATAACTTTCATGAAATTGGAAATGATTCAGAATCAACAGAAAAAATTCTGACTGAAAAGACAGAACTCCAAAATGGCCATATTAACCAAAAAAATGATAATAATGTTACTACAACAAGTCAGACTCATAAGATATCTAATAATAGCACATTAAAAAAAAAGAAAGAGCAAAAGAAAAAATTATCTGGTGATAATGAATCTTTTAAACTGACAGATTCAATAGCATCTATTGGATCACCCGAATTTGAAGCTGGTCAAGCTTCTTCAGCTCCAAAGTTAAGTGAAAGAGCATTAAAGGCCAAAACCAGAACAAGAAGTTTCTTAAAACCAAGACTATCATCAACAAAACGTCTCAGGAATGCTGAAAACTCAAATCAATCTATTTTGTTTCCTAAAGCTGCCAATTTACCTACAGGTTCAGTGATTACAAGATTGAGATCTCATGATGAAAAATCCTTTTTAAGCTCGCCTATAAAATTAGTTGAGAACTTTATTGATATCAGTGATGATGAAAAGGACAAAAATGATTTTAAAGGAAATAAAAATAAAAATAAAAGACATGATTCAAAATCGAGATCACACAAAAAGAATTTATCTAGAAGTCTCGAAAAACACCAAAAAAGATCATCGTCGAAAACTTCATCAAAAAGACAGTTTGATTCTAAAAAAACAACCAAAAACCTTTCTCCCAAAGAAAATGACTTTGAACTTATAAAAGAAAATTTTCAACAAGGACCTCAAACTCGAAGAACCACTTCCAGAACTTTAACAGTATCTGATGGCAGTTCTTTCAAATCCTTGTCTAGAAAAAGAAGCACTTCTCCAGATCCCAAATCAAATAAGAAAATCAAGATATCTTCATCCAAGATATCTTTATCCAAGCAAATCATTAAAAATAAAGATATTACTACAAGTACTCCCTTACCCACTCGTACAAAGCTAACTCCTAATTATGATGAACTTATTTCCGAAACTGCTGTGTTAGAAATCAATGAAAAAAAAGGCGACCCTCAATCAGAAAACTATAAAAAACATAGTAATGAGGTATTCTTGGATAAAAATAAAAAAATTGAATTTAGATTGAAACCAAAGATAGAAAGTGATAAAAATAAAGAGAATAAAGATAAGCAAGATAAGCAAGGAAAAAGGTTATCCTTGTCAAATACTATGAAAAATAAAAATAAAAATAAAAATAAAAATGGAAATGAAAAGATAGAATTGAATAGTGAACCAAGTAAGTCCAAAAAAGAAAGCCTGGGAAATGGGTCAAATGGTGTTGGTAATAGAAATCGAGTTGATACATCAAAAAATAGCGACAATAGTCTACTGATTTCATTAGATACAGATGAGAATTTAAAAATTGTTGAATCAAAGGAGCCTCCAAAAATTCCTGATGCGTTTAAAAATATTTTAGTGGAACATCAACATTCTAAGGGACCACATTTAAGTCCAAGTTTATTAACAAAGCTTTGGACAAAATTGGTGGTTGAATATAAACCGAATAATGAGATTTTGCAAAAGACAATATGGGTAGAGTATTTTTCTGATGATTTTCTTGATGATTTTGCGATTGATTCTTTAGATGCTTCTAGTCATGAAGAAATAAAGAAACAAAAAAAGCGTACGAGAATTCATGACCCCAAAATATTTTTTAAGGCTGTTTGTTTAAGTATTCGAGGTGTTCAATTGTTCACGTATCCAGGTGTTGAGAATAATAAAGTATATGTTATTAGAAATATATCATTTCGAGAAAAGGTTGTGAGTGAAGGGGAGTTCCGAGAGTTATTAGCAGAGATAATACAAGAGGCAAATAAAGAGAACTATTCGAATAAAATAAGTGATATTGAAGAATCTTCTGATCGTGGGTATTTTTCTATATACACACCCAATTTCAATACCAACAACAGCAGTGATGAGTTGGAAAAAGATAAAGTGGTAAATGGTGGTAATGAGTCAATGAAAGAAAAATGACTTGTGAAAGATGTAATTTTGAAGCGATTTTTTATTTTATGCCTGTTTTTATTATTATTATTATTCCTTGTTGAATTTTGAAAATTAATATAAATTATGTGATTATATAATTATTGTTTTTTGAATCAATGCTGGTATTTATCTTAAAATTATTTAATTTTAATTATTTTAATTATTTTAATTACGTTTTGTTTATTTAGTTGAAATAATAAAATATAATTAATAAAATATCTATATATATGGAAAAAAAAAAAAAAAAAAAAGAGAGAGAGAGAGAACATAGATATTAATGAAAACAAAGCCAATTGTAAACACCAAACACTTGAGAAGCAAATAACCCAACGTAGAGCAGATAAGTAATGTACAAATAATAAATACAACAACAGTAAGAATAAGTAATTAAGACCTAAGATAAAAAAAACAAAAAAACAAAAAGAGAAAGTAAGAGAAAGTAAGAGAGAGTGAGAAAGAGTAAGAGAGAGTAAGAAAGAAAGAAGAGAATGATAAATTGATAATGTAATAAGTAAATAACAATAGTTCAATAGCAAAGTGAAAGGAGAGGTAAATAAAATATAAGATATAAAATGGATATGATTGTAATGTACATTGAGAACAAAAAGTGAGGATAAGAGTAAATAGCTGGATGGAAAACCAAGGGTATTATTAATATTATTGGTATTATTAATGTTATTAAACAGTATTAAGATTAGTGTTGCTGATGTTTTTTATGGATAATTTTCTTTTTAAACTTGAGAAAAAATGGTTATTTTGGAATTTTGATTTAAAAGAATTTTTTCTTTTATTTTTAAAAGAGGAAGAGACCGGAGAATTTAAAGAAGAAAAAGTTGATAGGGAAGTAGCATCATCATTAATGATATTATTGGCAGTGAATTTATTTGAGATTAAATTTGAGGAAGCTGAAAAATCAGAAGTTGAGTGATTGATTTTAAGGAAAAATTGATGAGGATTATTGTGAAAGTTTTGAGATAGATTGTTGGTGATTGGAGAGGATGGGTTGCTTTTATTGTGAAAGATTAAGGGAGATAATGATTTTTGAGATTGGTAGTTGTTAAGTTTATGAATGTATTGGAGTAAAGCAGTTTCAGTTAATACTTTTGGTAATTTTGGTTTTTCGATAGCATTTGGGGTGATGTTGAGGTTATTGAGCATGTTTGTGTTTAGTGATAGAGGATGAGTGTTGGTAATATCATTTTTTTTACTGATTTTATTAAATAGTTTTTTTTGAATATTATTATTATAAGTGAATTTCGACTTTTGAGTGATGGTGTTATTATTGTTGTTAATTATGTGGACGTTTTTTATATCAAGATTGTTAGTTAGATTATTTGATATGTTGTTGTTGTTGTTGTTATTGTTGCTATTGTTAAGGTTAGTTGAGCTTAAATTTTGGTTAGAGAAGGAAAGCAAAGGGGAATAGTTTGGGGGCCTGTATTTAAATTTGGCAAGCTCATTGATTTGGAATTGCAAGAAATCGTTTATGCTTTCATTATCGTCATCAATTTCGTTGATTAGATCGATGTTTTCGTTGTTGAGACTGGAATAGCAATCGTAGTTCTGGAGATTGGAGTTATTTAAGTTTTCGTTAACATTTGAGATTTTGGGTAGCAAAAAATTGGAGGAGTTAAGATTTGATTTGTTGTTGATTGCGAGAGAGTGGGATCTTTGAATTTGGCTGTCATTTTGGTTGGGCTTGTTTGAGAGCTTGAGTGACTTGGAGAGCTTTAGCTTGTTTTTGTAGGAAGAGCCAAAGAGCTCGTTGAAGAGGACATCGTTTTCATCGTTTTCAATGGGATTGTTGTTATTGGTGTCGCTGAGGATGAATTGAGGAAGAGTTGTGTCGGCGGTTAACATAGGCTCAGGCATTCTGGCGCTTCTGGCGCTGTAATAGAGGAGTGGAGGAAGCAGAGGCAACTGTGAGATGAACTGGGAAGAAGAAACACTGGAAGAAGAGAGGACTCTTATATTGGTGAAAAAGTTGCAAGTTGAAGAGAATTCGTGGTACTTCAAAGGAAAATGGACTTATTTTATATGGTTTATCATTGAGATTTGCACAAACTTGGTCAGAACAAATCTGATAAGCAATTTAGTCTTGAAACCTAATTTACTTCCAGACAGCGCTAGCAATCCATCCCGAACACCGGAAACAGCCGCAAACGCACACAAATTGCACACAAAACACAGCGGACAGCGCACAAATAGCGCACAACTGCTCTTGGTTCGGGAAAAGCGCTTGTCGCACGCTTGCGAAGCCTGCGCATGCAACCGCAGCGGTGGTCGCTAAGTCCAAAGCCTGTATTGAGCTTCGGCGCTGGCTGGACTTTTGCGCGCGAATCCAAACACGAACACCCTCGATGCCTTGTGCCGGTCATTTCCAGATTGGGACACCTGCTCAAGACAGCGACAATAGACTGTTCTAGACCCTTGTTCTAGACCTCTGCTCCATCTATCCCCATCGGGAAGGTGGCGTGTGACAAGAACGCCTTTTCTCTGCCTTTCCTCCACTACGCTCGGCTTTTACATGTCTTTTATCGGTATTTGCAAATGCCAACCCCTGCTAGTCCGTTATTGCAGGTACAAAACAATTATTGGGGAATTTGGCCTATTTGACAGTCAAATCGGGCGAGTAGCAGTTTCCAAAGCTGCCCACAAAACTGATATCTCAGTATTTATCTAAAGTTCAAATTCCAAAACTCTAGCCTCAACATACAGTCTCAAGACTGCCATTCAAATGAAACGCTGCTTTCTGATTTCTGGCTGCCAAATTTTAACCACCAAGTTTGTCAACTTAACAAACTGATTTCTTCATTGCCCATTAAACTAGCTGCTAGCGAGCAGCCAATAGGCTGTCTGCTATTTTTCGCTGCTTTTGGCTCCTCTTTCTGCTTCTTTGAATAAGCTTATTAAAACATCTGTCTCTCGCTGCATCTCCTTGGCCCACTGGTAAACATCGCTATTGCTTTTATTGTACATTATTGCATTGGAAAACATCAACAAAATTTCTCTTTCCAACTCTCTCGAATTGGTTATTCTCCCATCTTTAATCATTTGTTTGATGGTTTTTAAATCTCTCGGCTCGTATACCAAGGAGTAGTAATTAAGAGCATCATTTTCATTAACTGGTTGCAAAAACGTAGACGCAAATTTCATTGATGAAATATTTGATAATAATGTATTGGAAACAGAGATAAACTTCTTATGTTGTGCGCTTCCAACATAGTTGCTTCCATGTTCCTCTCCAGGTGTTGGTGACAATTTCCTTTTCTTAGATCTCGTAATTGGTGTCAGTCCTCGTTCTCCACTAGACCTCAACTTTCTTTTACTGTATTTCTCATTTTCTTCTTCACCTTCTTCCTCAAACTCTCTTTCACTATCGCTGTCGTCTCCAATTCTGATTGCCAATTTTTCTTCAAACTTCTCCTTTGGTTCTTGTGATTTTTCCACTTCACCTCCTTTCTTTTCCTCAAAATCGCTTTTCTCTTTTTCTTTTTTCCCTTTTTCTTCTTTCCCTTTTTTTTCTTTTCGTAATTCTTCATCATGTTCCTGAGAACTTGCACTTGAACTTAAATTTGCAATAGAATCCTCATTCTCCTCTTCTCCAGAATCTATTTCTATCATCTTTATATCATCATCCAGAACATCTATTTCCTCGTTTTCTTCCCCATTTTCTTCTTCTTTTATTTCCAATCTATTCTTTATATCTTTCATCAGTTTGTTTCGGATTCTAGCACTCTTTCTAGTCTCTTTACTTGACTTATCTTTTTCTTTATTCCCTTCTTTATTCCCTTCTTCATTTTCACTTTCATCACTTTCATCATTCACATCAATTACATCAATTTCAAACATCTTATCTTCTTTATCTTCATTTTCCTTAATTTCTTTCTCTTTTTTTTTTTCTTTTTCAATACTCGCATCCACAAAAATCTCTTTCTTTTCTTCCATTTTTTCTTCTTCCACTTTTGTCTCTTCAATTCTATTCTCTTCCACTTTCTTCTCTTTCATTCTATTCTCCATATCCAGATCATCTCCTTCCCCTTCTTCTTTAGCTGATATATAGATTTCTTCGTGTTCATCATTGCTATATTTATCTTCATCTTCTTCATTTTCCATCTCCAATTTCTCATCATCTTCATTACTTTTTCTCTCTTCACTATTTTCATCGTTTTGATTTCTCATTTCCTGCTCAATTTCAGTTCTATCATCCAATTGTTTATCACTTTTATCTTCTTTAATTAGCTTATTCTTTTTTCCGCTTTCAATATCTATTTTCTTATTTAATTGTATTTTTTCATCTATACCATTCTCTTCAATAATTTTATCATCTTTTTCATCAATCATCTCATCTTCATTACCGTTTTTTTCATTATCTAATGATTTATCTTCTAACCTTTTTTCATCAATATTATCGATAATTTTATTATCATTATCATTATTGGAATTGGAATTGGAATTGGCTTGTACTTTACTAGATTCTATATTTTTATTACTAATTTTAGTATTACCACTATCACAATTTCTATTACCACTATCAACTTTCATTTCGATTGCATTTTGATCATTCACAGTAGTAGCTTGATCAGTTTTTCCATTCTCCACCTTCTCTTTACCCTCATTTTCTTTATCAACACTATTGATTGAATTTTTGTTCAATAGGTTTTCTTCATCAACCAGTAATTTGGGAACTTCTTTATTAAAAGTTTCTTTATTCGAATTTGTAGTAGAAATACCGTCTGTTGTTTCATCTGAAACATTTGAAACATTTGAAGTTCTTTTTCGTTTATCGTCTTCAACTATTGCATTAAACAGTTCTTTTGCATTTGATACGAGACTGTCTGACAGAATTTGTGTATTTTTTTCTATTTGTATTTGTATTTCATTGTCTGATTTAACTATATTTGAATTGTTTTTATTAATCTCGTTATCATTATTAGTGTTATTATTATTTTTATTATTATTATTATTATTATTATTATTATTATTGTTATTGTTATTATTATTGTTAGTAGTAGTAGTAGTAGTAGTAGTAGTATTATCAATATCATTACTAGTAGCAGTGTTAGTATTATCATTATCATCATCGTTATCGTTATCGTTATTACTATTACTATTACTATTACTATTACTATTACTATTACTAGTAATACTAATGTTATCTTTTTTATTCTGGTCCTTATTCTCAATGTTTAACCCTGCTCTTATACTTTCATTTTCAATTAAAGACTTCCTTTTATTATCCAGTTCTTTTTTAATTTCGTTGATTAAATCCAAATCTTTGCATTCTTTAATTAATTGTTCTCTATTAAACTTTCCATTTTCAATTGAATTTATCTCATTTTCATACGATCTGTAAGTAGATTCCAAGTTTCCTATATCTTTAATTAATATTTTTTTTGTCATATTATTAAGGTGATAAGTCAAATTTTTCAAAAAATTTAATTTTGTGTCAACAGGATCAATTAAGGTCAACAAAATCGAATTCTTATTATCACCATTATTCTCAGTTTTGATTTCAAAAAGCTGATAACGAGTATTATCGTTCACGCCTGTAGATTGAATCAAATTTGAATTTTGTAACTGGCTGCTATTTTGAAGAGATTGGCTGGAGCTCAAAGTTAAATTTTGATTATAATTGTTGCTTAATTTTAGCGAATCGTCTTGGTTTTTCATTTGTTTGAGATAAAAGGATTGAAAATTTTGCATAATAATTTCAAGAACATAATTGTTATCTATGATTGTAGGCGATGACTTCAATAACTCTTTATCATGCAAAACGCTTGAGCTGGTGTTCAAAGTCGTTGAATTAGAGGCTGTAGGAGCAGAAACATCCTCTCCAGCACTACAATCCAGAAAATCGTAGCAGAACTTGTCGAGATAGTTGTTCAATAAAGGGTGGTTTCTCAAAGCATCAACGATTTTTGATACAGTGATCGACAAGGTGAAACTGTTCTGTGTTGTAGAATTGCTCTCTCTGGCTGCTTTGAGCTGTGTCAATTCGTTGTATAGTATCTGGGCACAGAGTTCTCTGTGAATATTAGTTGTGAAATCCATCGAAATGTGTCTGGTGAGTCTGGTGCTGCTGTTGGCTGAACAGTTGGAGTTGGGGAGAAGATGCTCAAAGACCTTTGGAGCCCTCTCGCCTTTTCCAGACCTCCGCTTTTGGACTGTTCTTTATTAATTCCTCATATATTCAACATGTAGCTCGAAAAATACAATAAGACGTAGCGTCTCGAAAAGAAACAACATATACAAAAAGAAATATCAAAAAACTATCGCACAGAAGAAAGCAAAAAGCAAAATATGGAAACAAAGTAAATAAAAAACAAAAAAAAAAAAAAACAAAACTATTCATATAGTAACAGAGAAGGCGACCAACAATCACTGCTTCGCCAGATTTACTCTGGGGGACTTTTATAGAACCCATTGGGAGATAGTTCCATGATGAGTTCTCTTCCAATTTTTCTAGGATGGATCATGCAGATCTTGATCTTTCCTGGTGTTGCATCTAGTAAGACAACTCTCTTGCCAGTAATCACTTGCACTGGTTTGGGAATATAATTCAACATGCAAGAATGTTTGTCTATTCTGTAAACCTCAATCACGTCTGGAGAAACCAAAACCAAAAAATCATCCTGGAAGGCAACACCTTTGCACCTAAAAGTAAAAGGAATCAAGCTAATTCTAGATAAAACACCATGGTTACTGCATATTAAAGCAAATTCGTTATAAACAAGCAATAGCTCTTTCATTTCGTTGATTTTAAAAATCCCCATTGGCCTGCAGCTGGCACTTGAAAGTTTCTTTCTAATTAAGGCAAGACTAGAAAAAACGTTCTTCTTTTGTACTGTACTTGGCTCAGATAATATTGGAATTGACTGGGCTTGCAACATCGATAGTGACAAAACCTCGAATCCTTTCGCTGTATGTATCGCAAAGGTGTTTCTAAATATTGTCAATCCAGAACAGTCTGCTTGAATATTAAATTTTTTGTGTTCCTCGAAATATTCAAACTTTCCTGTCGCTTCTTCTAGCTTAGGAATAACAACTTTAAAGTAGCATCCCGAACTAGAAACCTTTTGTTTTGAGTAAAACAATAATGTAGAGCCCTTTTGTTCACCAACTTTAAAAAATAAAACATCTTGCTTGGACAACTTTTGTCCAATTGTTTTGGTTCGAGTTCCTTTAAAAACAGGGATAATATTTTCGATTTTATAATATTGTAAAATCTTATCAGACAATAAAACCAAAACGTTAAATTGTTCCAAGACACACATTTGAGAAATAGACTTTAATTCCAATACTCTTTTCCAGTTTCGAACTTCACCACTTTGAGCCATATAGACCCCATAATCTAACCCTACCAACAAATATTCAATATCTTGATAAGTAAAACTAGTAGAGCTTAAAACTGAACTATACATCAATGGTCTTGGGATTTTACCGGGGAATTTTTCAGCTGTTTCCTGCAAAGCAATTTCAATTCCTGATCCTTTAGAACAAATTGGTAATTTACGAGGAAAATTCTCCTTTTCATACGCAAAAGCAGCATCTGATAAAATTTTTAATTTAAATGGTTCATTGCACTTGATTCTTTCTCTATGGCTTGCTTGAGCTTCTCCAATGATTTTCAACCACTCTTTTCTTTCTACATCCGTATTCGTGTAAAAAGTATAAGAATCTGTTTTTCCAGCATATGAAACTTTAAATGCATAAGTAATTGGTTCATCTTGAGAAATTGACCCATTCATCAACTGTCCCGGCTGAGTTGTGGTTCTTCTGTCTAATAAACTAATCTGTATAAGTAAAAATTCAATTGGAATTGGTCTTTCTGATACTTTGTAGCGCTTAATTTCTGCAGTTTCCCTGATTTCCTCTGTCATTAGCAAGTAATTATCCATTAAAACCAAGTGAGAGGAAGAATCTAGCCACATGTCTCTTTTTTTGGAAACATTACCCCTTTTAAAAAGTAATCTTTCTGGAGAATTCCATTCCATGTTAACTTCACAGCCATTTTTCCAAATCAATTGAGATGCTACATTTCTTATAGCTCTTGTTTTAGCTGCACAGTCTTGCATCGAATCAATTTTCGATGATAACTTTTTAACAGCTTTAATTGTTTTAGATAAATTTCTATATTCAGGATCAGTTGGCGAAGTCTTCTTCTGAATAGCACCTAAAGTTAATGGAAGTTGCATAACGTGGGAAATAAATCGATTTAAAAACAACCTATCAGAGGCCACTCCAGCTTTAACGACTCTGGGATCTCTATCACATTCATTCAACCATTCTGCAAATTTTGATTCTTTTCTTACTTTTGTTTCATAAGCGATTAATTCTCTTACACCGACCATTTTATCGCAATATTTTAAATATGGAATGAGAGCCTTTGTCACCCATGGAATATAAAATTCAGCGATTCCTGATATATATTTGCCTTGGGCATTTAATTTATTAAGTAAAGGTTCTAATAAATACATTTGGTGAGTTCTAATTATTTCTTCAACGGTTAAAAATGCGTCTTGATAAAATTTTTGAGTTGATGGTATCAATGGTGGATTCTTTTTTAGAAAGCTCTTGCCAAATACCTCGATTAAAATTTTTCCATGAAGAACTAATTTTTGTTCATTTTTAATTAGATCAAAAATATGAGATTGCTTTTCTTGAGTATTTCGATCGATCTCATTTAATTCTTCTGCTGATATTTTCCAGTGACTAACCCAATCAGAACCCAACAGCGTTTCAAAGTTTTCTAAAGAGCTTATTTTACTTAAAACGCTATCTATGCTTGTTCTGATTGAGGAACTACTTGATGATTCTGTTTTGGAAAAGTTCGTTTTAATAGAAGAAGTTCTGCCAATTCCAGTATTTGCAATAGATTTTTTGGAAGGTGTGTTTGCAATTTGGAAATGAGTCGAGGATCTCTTGTGACAATCTCTTGGACACAAGAGACAATAGCAGATACTTTTTTTCAATATTGTGCTATTACTATTTGATTTTCTGTGATTTGAAGTATTAGAGTAGCAGGAGGTTATTTCAGGCAAGACGCCGTTGAGATAAATATCATGATTAAAGAAGACATTTGGATCATCTTGATTTCTACCCGAGTCTTCATAAATAATTGCCATATTATTTTCAAGGTTTTGGATTATGGTATCGACGTTTCTTTCGATAATGGACAGTTTTAGTTTTGGATATCTAGTGGATATTAGCATGTTGAATGATTTGATTAATTCTGATTTGGGGATTAAAGAACCTTGAGACCAAATTGTTAAATTTTTAGCCCAGTTGAATAGAGCAGAGAGTGACCAAATATCGATGCATTTTTTCAATTGAGAAGATAAAAGTGAAGATGCAGAAAAGGGTAAGGTTGGTAGATCAAGACTTGGAGGAGCCGGCAATATTTTTTCCTCTGGATCGAAAAAGAGTATAGGTTTGACAGGGGATTCAGGTAAAGATTTTTGTGGATCAAATAGGACGATTTGTTTAGGAGAATCTGGTTGAGAGAATTTTGAGGAAGAAAAGGATTCTATACTGTCTGATTTGTTTAGTATATTTGTGTTGATAAAAAACGGGTTATTAATGACCTTGTTGTTGTTGTTGCTGTTGCTGTTGCTGTTGCTGTTGCTGTTGCTGAAGTTAGTTATTTCTGTGATTTCTGTGTTATTTCTTGTAATTGGGCTAAAGATGGAGTTATTGTTTAGAGGAGATTCAATGTCGTCTAAACTATCATTGATTAATTGTTTATCGGCGGATGATTTTTTGTTTTGAATAAAGGGGTTATTTTTTGTATTATCGGAGACTTGGGTGTAAGAATCAGGTAGGCTATCTTTTTTTTGTAGGATGTTGTTTTGGTTTTCAATTTGAGTTTCGATTTGATCTTGGTCGTGAATTGAATTAGAATTGGATATTTTATAGACATCTAGTATATCATCGTACATTGATTGACGAATAAAGGTTTCCATTGTGTTGTCATCGTTGTCGGTGTTATTGTAGTTTGTAAAGTTATTGTAATCATCGGTGGTGTTGAAGGGGTTTGTAATGGTGATATCGTTTTTGAAGTTTATTTGATACTGGGGTTGATTTTGGGGAGAGTAATAATTTTGAAAGACGTCATGAGAGTTGTCATTATTTTGATTATTGTTTTGATTATTGTTTTGATTGGTATTTTGACTGGTGTTTTGACTGGTGTTTTGATTGGTTAGTGTATTATTATTATTTTGTGGATTGATATCAATGTTTAATGAATTGAAGTCCGAGTTTAGATTTGGGGGTGGTAAGTTTTCACTCAATTTTTCTAATATTTGGCATTGTTTTTTAATTTCGTTTGAAATATAAGATTCTTTGTAATCTGAGTCATATAGAGGGTCATCATCAATATTAGTAGCATTGATGTTAGTAGTAGTGGTAGTGGTAATAGTAGTGTTATCGACAGTAATTTGGGGTTGGATTGCAGGTTGGATTGCAGGTTGGATTGCAGGTTGGATTTGGGGTTGATCTTGGAATAAAGAAGGATAAGATATTATATGAGGAGGGATTGATAATGGATTATCGTTAATATTATTATTAATGTTATTATTAGTGTTATTGTTATTATTAGTGTTATTGTAGATTGACATTGATGGAATTGGAAGAGGAATTGGGGGAGGATCTCTTGGACCTAAAGGTTTATTATTTATATTATTAATGTTGTTATTAATAACATTGTTATTGTTATTAAAATAATTATTATTATCATTGTTATTGTTATTGTTATTATTAAATTCGTTATAGTATTCATTATATTCATTATTATATTCGTTTATAAAATCGTTTTGAAATTTAGCGTAGTCTTCAATGTAGTTAAAATTGTTGCTACTGTTATAGGTATTGTTGTTATTATAAGCATTATAGGTGTTGTTATTATAGTCGTTATCGAAAGGAGATATGTTATTGTGATATGTATTTATTGGGTCGACTGGAATAATCGGAGGGTTCAATTGGTTTGGATGAGGCAAAGGGATAGGTTGGTTTGAGTATACGTTATTTTGTGTGTTGTTGTTGAGTAGAGTTTTCTTTTTAAGATAGTTGTAGCTGTTGTAGTTGATGTAGGCAGGATTTGGAGCAGTGTTATTAGGTTTTAGAGGCTTTGGTGGAGGAAGAGGTGGAGGAGGCTTTTCGTAGTTTGGGTTATTCGAGTTGGAGGGATTGTGGTAGGGGAAGGGGAGATTTACGTTGGAGATGTTGGCGAAGGTGTTGATGTTGGTGGAGCCGGTGGAGCTGGTGGAGCTGTAGGTGTAGGAGCTGTTTCTTTTGTAGAGAGAGTAGTTGTGGTTTGAGCCTTGGTTGTAAGACATTTCTGATTTCAGGTAGAAGAGGAAAGAGCAGAGAAAGCAGGGAAAAGGGAAACGAGAGGCATGGATATGGGCCAAAAAAGAGCAGAAAGCAGGCGAGGGACAGCAGGAGGAAGAGCGAAGATGGAGGAGGTGAAGGTGGTGCTGGTGAAGATGGTGATAAACAGTAACAAGCATTGCGAACCACCAGGGCGGAGCTGCATCGCACGCGCACGCGCCAGCGGGACGGGACGGGACAGGAAGAACCAGCGCGAGGGAACAAGACAAGACGCTCGGCAGCACACACAACACACGCAGCACACACAGCACCAATGGCGGACGCAGACGCAGCACAGACAGCGTGTCGGCACGTGGAGGCTCTTGCGTGCGGCAGCAAGCTCTTGTTCGTCGTGGACCTCAGTAGCAGGGCCAGCCAGGCCTTTGTGGGTGACGCCTTCAGCTTTGAGATGGCGCTCTCTTTGTTGCCTCTCGCGCAGCAGCTCTCGGTGAGGAACAAGAGGCTGTTCCGGGCCCAGACCAATGCGTTGGCCAACCAGATGCTCCGGCTCTTTGTGGTGCTCCTTCTCCTGCTCCAGCAGCACCGTCGGCCCAGCTTGTCCTCCCTCCTCGCAGGCTTTTCCTCCAACGCCCACGGCAAGCCCATCTATCCCTCCCTCCCCTATTGCTTCAACCTCTCCAACTCCTGCAATGCCTCCTCCAACCTCTGCTCCATGGTCGTCGCCAACACTCCCGCCAACCAGATTGGTGTCGACTTGGCCCACTCCCACGACATATCCTCCACCAACGACTTGCTTGCTGAGTTTGAGTCCATTTTCCATCCACACGAGTACTCACACATTCAAAAATACCTCGCCCAAACAGGCTCTGCTGCGATAAACAACTCCGTTCTATTGGCCCAGTTCTGGGCTCTCAAGGAATCTCTCTCCAAACTAATAGGCACCGGCTTGGTCAATATCGATCTATCCAGTTACCACTTCTCTTTTGACATTGATCATTTCAATCAATTGGCTCCCAGCCAGCTAAACACAGATCACTGGTTTACCGAAATCACTCTTTTCGCTCAAGCAAAAAAACTAGACTACAGCATCTACTTGAAACAAATCCAAAAGGACCTCTACTGCTCGGTTATTCACGAAAACAGTTCTTCGTCTGTTTCCGCCAACTCTTCTGACAACATCAAAATCATCAATGTTGGTCTTGAAGAAATGTTTTCTGTCCTCAGTCACTACAAATAAACATCCGTGCGGTCCTCGTCTTCTATAACAATAAACATTGCTTTGAGTGTTTACCCATCCCTGTAGTGGCCATATTTCTACCGGCACTGTAAACATAAACAAATCCCATAACAATAGAATCCGTGTTTATCTTTCTTCTTTAGGCATACTGCATGTGTACTTATGTATCTGCATCATTGCGCATCATCCCGAACCTACTTTCCTCTTACTTTGAGAATGTGCGGTGTTACCAGAAAAAAAGTTACCTCAAAATGCCATTACACTCCTACCTCCAATCATTTTACCACCCTAAATACTGTCAACTTCATCTTCTCCCCATCCTATTTTAAGAATTTCTTTCACCATATCATCACATTATGCTATAATTATACCACAACTATCCTATAATTATCCTACATTTTCTGCTTTCCTACTTTACTAATCTATTTCTACTTTATACCAATTTGCATTTCTATAACCTTGGCTCCATCTTCTGGTCACCCTTATCTTATCTTATCTTATCTTATCTTATCTTATCGCATCCTGATCAACCATGAAGGCATCCATCAACGATGATTCAAATCTAAAATTACTACCTGATTCACCAGCTGTTTCTCTTTCCTCTCCTTCCTCTCCCTCCTCCTCTCACTCTCCTTCACCAAAAATACCTTACGAAATAATGGACTTTGCTGAAAATACCACTGATACCTCTGCAAATATAAACTACCAAATTAACTACAACCAAATTGATTCTCCCATCCTATCTCCAACTCTCTCTCCAATCACTTCACAGATCGAACCCTTTTTAAACTCGGGCCTACTACTACCTTCAAACCACCAAAATGACATTAATCCCATAGACGATGAAGAAAACTTGTTCAACTCAAACCACCCAGGCTCTCTAAGCTCGCTAGAAGAACTTCCTCAGGGAAGAAATATGGGTCTATTCTCCACAATCCTCCTTTTTATCTCAAGAATCGTCGGCTCTGGAATCTTTGCCACGCCTGCCTCCATCTTTATTAGCTGTGGAGGCTCTCCCTTTTTGTTCTTTCTAGCCTGGATCATCGCTGCAATAATAACCTTCTCAGGCCTATACATTTACCTTGAACTAGGATCTCTAATGCCTAGGTCTGGTGGCACTAAGGTCTTTTTAGAAGTCATCTACTACAAACCAACCTATTTGATCAGCGTCGTCTTTTCTCTATACTCGGTCTTGTTTGGCTTTGTAATAACAAATGCTATAATCTTTGGCGAATATTTCCTATATTCTTGTGGCTTCGATAACGAAAACCAAAGCAAAAATCCTAGATACGTTGGCGTCCTATTGACCCTAATAACAACTCTAATCCATGGCTACTCTGTCAAAACTGGAATCCTAATCAACAATATCGTCGGCTCGCTAAAGCTAATTCTTTTGTTCATTATGACTTTAACTGGTTTTTTCGTTTTAGTGTTTCCCCAATCAATCACAAAAATCGACAACCAGCTAACGTGGTCAAACTTCTTTCAAAACCAAAGAACTGTAACTCTCTCGTCATTCTCAGCTGGCATATTTCAAGCCATTTTCAGCTTCAGTGGTTGGAACAATGTTCACACTGTAGCATCTGAGATTAAAAACCCTGTTAAAACATTAAACCTAGCCGGTCCAGTTTCTTTGATCATCATATTGATCTCCTATTTCTTTACCAACATTGCCTATTTAAAAGTCGTGCCCCACGATGAAATCTTCAACTCGGGCCAATTAATCGGTTCCTTATTGTTTGAAAAAATATTTGGTTACAAAATTGGAAGACAGCTACTAACAATGTCAGTGGCACTATCTGCCGGTGGCAATGTGTTTGTAGTCCTATATGCCATATCGAGAATGAATCAAGAAGTCTTTAGAGAAGGCTATCTACCCTTTGCCTCACTAATGGCTTCAAACAAACCCTTTGGTGCACCCTTGCCTGCACTACTCCTATCCTTGTTCATCACCACCTTTTTCATGTTGGTGCCACCAGCAGGTAACGACGTCTACAGCTACATTGTCAACTTGGAATCATACCCATTTCAGTTGTTCATGATCTTAGTGGCAATTGGTGTGCTCATACTAAGAAAAAGATTTCCCAAGATAAAAGCACCAGTCCAGGCCAGCTATTTTGGGATCTTCATCACTGTCATATTGTCGGTGGTGCTAGCCATTGCCCCCTTCACTGCAAACGACCCCAACAACAACATCAAGGGCTTTCCAAGCTACAGCTTGATGAGCATCATCATCTTGTTGGCCTGTGTGTTGTACTGGTTTGGCTTCTTCATAGTGCTCCCATACTTGGGCAAATACACACTAAGGCCGGAGAACAGAGTGCAGGAGGATGGGTTGGTGGTGAAGGAGTGGGTCAAGCTTCCAATAGCGTAATACCCAGTGCCATGCTCCTTCCTCTTCTTCTGCTTCTCCCTCTTCCCCTTCCTCTGCTTCCTCTGCTTCTCGGCGGAAAAGCGCGGCGGACGCAAGGCCCCAAACGGCAACCGCGGCCGGAGCATTACTCATCGGTGAATAATCCTTAATAATCAGAGCTGATTAATGCTCGAAATGCCTCTTCAACATCGACATATAAATCCTCTCTTTTATGGTCTCACTCTTTCTTCAAAAGCACTTTTACACACACTTACTCTGAAAGCATAGCACCAACATGGGCATAAATCACCATCTTTTCACTTCAATTCCTGAAGCTTTAGAAGCTTTTAGTACGTTTTTTTTTCCACTTTTTCACTTTTTTTTCTCGTACAATTGTATTAACATCAAGCTCATTTTTGATCTTGTGAAGAAAATGGCGAGTTTCTCATAGTAATGGACGATGAAGATCGAGAAAATGAAGGAGACCTTATAATAGCAGCAGAATTTATCGACCAGCAGAAAATGGCCTTCTTGGTTCGTCACTCCTCTGGTTACATCTGTGCTCCACTCTCCAATGAAAGAGCTGACCTCTTAAACCTCCCACTAATGCTACCACCTAACCAGCAAACTGATAGACACAGAACTGCTTACACCATAACTGTCGATTTCAAAATCGGCACAACCACAGGAATCTCTTCAAGGGATCGTGCTCTCACTTGCTCAAAGCTCGCTGATCCAAATTCAAAACCTGACGATTTCTTAAAACCTGGTCATATCGTCCCCTTGAGAGCTCATCCCAACCTATTGAAGGAAAGACATGGCCACACTGAAGCTGCCATTCAATTGTGTAGATTAACTGATTTACAAGATGCTGCTGTGATCTGTGAATTGGTAAGAGACGATGATGGTCTTATGAAACGATTAGATGACTGCATTGAATTCTCAAAAGATTTCAACATCAAGTTGATCACCATAAAGCATTTGATCGATTATATTAATTCAAATAATCTCTAGCGCCTCTTTCCTACTTGTTTTATTTGTATCTTATCTTATCCTATTCTTTATATTGCAACTTAGTTAAAATGTACCATTAGATAATTTGAGACCCAACGGAATTTTTCACTGTTTCTCATTTTGAAAAATTTATTCATCTTCTTTTGATCTGAAATAGAATTTAGTTAAATGTATAAGTATCTTCTCATAAATTTTATAGCTCCACAATAAATATAATCTTTAATATTCACTATTCTACCATCATTCTTTTCCTTCTGTTCATAATGGATGCCTTTGAAGCAAGATTGGAGTTCTCAAAAAAGCTATTTAATCTAATTCCCTCCTCAGTAATCATCTCGAGCTGTGTTAATTTTGCTCTAAGATACTGTGATTATCAAGATGACTTCAACTCTTGTATCATCGAAGTATTATCTCAAGTTGACTTGAATCAAAAACTAAATATCCTCTATTTTATTGAAGCTCTTCTACTCCATCCCCAATTACAAATCAACAAAGATATAACCACTTTTCCTCCCTATTTATTAGACATCCTAAGGGCCCTACCAAACTATTTAATCACCATAATCCCTTCTCATCATGGTGGTTTAAGCAACTTAAGGGTAGCTTTCTCTATTTTACAAAATATAGGCAACAACTTTCTTACTTTAGATCCCCCAATTGATCTTGACAAAAATACTGACAAAAATCTTGAAAATTTTTCATCTGATCTTAATTTATTAAACTCTTTAAAAATATCAAATGATTCCCTAAATAAAAACATTCATTCCTTTGATAGTGATTTATTATCTGATCTGGACAAACACAAAATCTCTCAAAGATTAAATCAAATTATAGACAAAATTGACCTAAATGACACGAATTTAAAAACTGAAATCATTGAAAAGGAAGACAAGTCTCTCTTTAAAGTAATATATCTCAATTACAATGAAAAACTCAATTCAACTGATCAAATTGACTCAAAAAATGACATTCTCTCTGACGAAAATTCTTCTGATGATAATCTGTTAGTCTCAGGAATATATTTTAAACCAATTAATTTAATCACTGATTTAAAATCCCAAGGCCTAACAGCTGCATGGGAAATTCTATTAAATCGTAGATTACAAAGTCAGTTTATAACCTTTAGAGACTCAATAATTTTCCAGAAAAATTGTGAAATTCAACTAAAAGATACAATTTTTAAAATTGATGATGATTTCAACTATAATACTAAAGACAATAATGATAATAATAACAATAATAACAATAATAACAATAATAACAATAATAACAATAATAACAATAATGACAATAACAATAATAATGACAATAACAATAATAATGACAATAACAATAATAATGACAATAACAATAATAATGATACAGATCTGAATGCAAATCTGATCAATAACTCAAATACTCAAAAGGAAACAAAAATAAATTATGAAGATATTATATATCAACAATTTCCTGTGTCTGGTGGCAAAATATTAGCAAGAATGGAATTGGATAGAGAAAGACATAAAAAATTAAAAGAAAGTAAATGGATGGTCAATAGACTTGATAAAGCTGTCGATAAAAATGAATTCAGATATTTATGGGATAAATATGATGAACTATCAGACGATGATATTGATAGAATTGAAGAATTGAATGATTTAGCAAGAGACAGTTATAATTATCCATTAATTTGATTATAATTTTTATATTTTTTTTTTATTGTATTACTATCTTTTAAAAATATAAACTCGTTTATTTACATGGCGTCATATATACTTTTAGCAATTCTAATGCTATTGTTGTCTGTACTTTTCTCAACTTTATAATATATTCCATTTAACATGATTTGCTTCATATTTGGTAGATTTGTAACAAACCAATCGACATATTCTTTAAAAAAATGAATAATTATAGTCATTAATGGATTGAAAAAGGCCTTATTAAACCCACAATTCGAACCATTTGAATACAAGTGTTCCTCCTTAACCTTTGAACCATTTAATTGACTGAAAAATTCAGTGTCGTCAAGATTTGAGTAATCTGTGCAAGTCAAATTTAAATAGCCATGAAAATTCCAATTTGATAAAATTGCCGGAACATTTTTCAAAAAATTATCAGATATTTGGAAAAACTGATTAAAATTATTAATATCTAAGACATTTATATTGGGAGTGACTGTATTTTCCTTTAAAAATGGAACCCTTTTTTGCATTGAATCACTTAAAAAAGCAAAAAAACAAGTTGAGACAACATCATTAAAATCATAATCAAACGAATTGTAAAATTGATGAGACATTAAGTAATTGTCAATAATAGGATGGAAAACCAAACAAGTATCACATTCACAACCATTCCAAATTAAATCATTAGTCAATAATTCATAACAAGATAGTTGAGATAAAAATGATGGTAATAAAAGGGTTCTTAAATTTTTCAAATTAATTAGGGCATTTTCATAAATTTTTCTTCGACGAATATAATTACCTTCAAAACTATTTTTTAAACTACCATCAATTGGGGAATCATGAAAAATTAAAAGGTTTTCCAAATTTAAATAATTGGGGATAAACGAACATATAATTAAATCCCAATTCTCATAATCGTTGTGATTTTTTAATATAATTTCAGAGTCATCATAGTAAGGAAAAATTTGAAATAACGATAAGGATTTCAAGTTTTTATTCAAGTTTTTGAATTGTTTTTGAAAAATAACATCTAGACATTGACAATCAGGAATAGTGCAGTTGATTATCAATTCTAAATTTTTTAAATCTTCAAGATTAATTAAATCATTGAGTGAAAAGACATCTAAAATTGAGTTATTGTTGATTGAATGAAAATCATGGAGATAATTGAATTTCAAAGTAGTTAAATTCAATTTAATATTATCACGCAAAAAACTTTGTTTTATTTGATTATAAAAATTTAATGATGAATAATAATAAGAGTCATTAATTGTTAGAGAATCAAGACTATAGAAAAACTCTTTGCTATTTTTGGAAAGTTGAAAATTTTCATTTAAATAATCTTGATCAAGATTTATAGTTAAATTTTTAATTGATAATGGCAATTTTTCTAAGTCATTTAAATCATCAATTATAGCTGTATTTAAATTTAGTAGCTTTTTGGAATTAAATATAAAATTTTTATTTGCTATTGACCTTAAACTTTTGTTATGAATTTGCAAATTAGTTATATTATTTGAGTTGAAGTCTATTATTAATGAGATTAGATTTATTAAAGTTTCATTCAACTGATTTGATATTTTTAAATCATTTGAAATTAATAAACTATCAGAAATGATCAATTCATCTATTAATGGTTTGGTGCTCCTAATTTCCTTTTCAAACTTATCAAGATTCAACAATAACTCTTGATCATTTTCCGGTAAATCTATTAAAAAACTGTTTGAACTACCTGAGATTATTTTGTAATTATATTTGCTATTAATTGCCTTTTTATCAAGTCTGGGTAATTCTGGGTTACGCCTAATTATAATTTTTTGAGAATAGCTGCCCATGATAAAAAGTGAAATATATATTATGATTGATGCAAATAAATATATTGATATTCTTGAAACATAAAATTTCAATAGTTTGATTTATGTTGTTTGTTGTGCTTTTATTGAATAAGGAATCGGGTAAGCAAATTTCGATGGGCAGAAATTTTTTGTTGGGCTCACCCCATAAATCTTAAAAAGCTGGAAAAAAATATATTTAGGTTTCTTTCAAGAGTTTATGAGTATTGTTTAGATAGTGAGCCAATTCAAATCTTGCTTTAGTGTCCTGCTGAAATTCAGTTCCCAATAGTTGAAAATAATAATTTTGGCCTGAGCTGAAATTCTCGAAAATTTCAAAAAGAAACACAAAGCATTGTTGAAAAACAACCGGATAAATTGCATGCGAGTCAAACAGATTTCATGCATGTTTTGGATTTTACATCCGACTGACGGTCGCGTGATATGTCGGCCAATCCAGAAGGAATTAGTCAAGCCGATTTCTGGCCGTTCGTCACGAGCTAATACACTTTCGAGCATTCGTTCTAGTCGTTCAAATCCGGATGCAACATTCGATTCAATTAACTCAACTCTTTGATTTAATTCATTGATTTTGGAAGCCATTGGTGGAGTATCAAGTTCCTTTTCATTATCACTATCAGTATTCTTGACTTGGATGCTGTCAGGTTAACAGTCGTCGAAGGAAGGATAGAGATTTCTTCTAGTGCTCATGACTTAGTAGACTTCTCTTTCCTTTTCCTCTTGGTTTATTTTATTTCTATCTAGCTATTTAGTGATCATATTTATATTGTTTGGATTGCAATCTTCATCAAGGTATTTGTGAATTAAATGTTTTTTGTGGAAACACAATTTTCGTTCCATAAGTGGTTAAGTCTTGTGTATTTGGTTTGAAGTTTGGTGTGAAATTTGCAATGCGTGAAATTATGTCAGCGTACGAAGATAAAAACGTTCTGGTTGTTTAGGTTAGTCACGTGCCTCTACCCTTCGATTGCTGTTTCTATTTGAATATATAACAATAGAGAAGCACTGATATTCCGCCCATACAATACTCCAGTAGCGTTGCGCTGATTTGGAGTTTTATTTGCGAGTAGATACATAATTGATATATATTAATTGATAATATGAAATGATATATGATTCTTTTAGTAAAAGCACTGCTATTGTAGTTTTGTGGACATCAATATAGACAGAGAGCTAAAATTGGTGGTTTGAGTCAAAGACATCAAAAATCAAAAAATGATTTGATCCGCACCACTAATTTCGGCCCATTTCAAATACCAACTAGGTAAAAAAACATTTTATCAGAACTGAAATGCTCCAATTTGATCAAAGATATAATGACTGGAGCGAATAAACACCAGCTAGAGGAGCACAATAGAAACCATAAAAGAGCAAAGCTATCTCAAAAGGTCAAGGTTTTAGATTTCATCAAAGAAAACCCAAATTATTCATTGAGGGGGATAGTTGATCATTTTTTTGGAAACAACTGTGATTTCAAATTATCAAAGAGCACAATATATGATTGGATTAAAAGTGAAGAAATACTAAGGAAAAGATTTGAAAGTTTTGAAGGAATCACAAATCAAAGAAGAGTTAGTCATTCCAATTTTAAGTATCCTGAGATCAATAAACAATTGTTTCAAATTATAAACATTTTATTGATTGTAAATGTAAATTTAACAGAAAATTTATTCAAAAAAATATGGAAACTTATTGCTTTTAATAACAAAGATTTTTATGGTATATCTGACGATTATATAAATAATGGGCCACCAAAGGGTTATTTATATCGATTTAAATCGAAATTCAATTTAAAATTCATTAAAATTCCAAATGAATTGAAAAATCTAATTAATAATAATAATTTATATTACGACGAGGATAATAACGATGTTGTTGCATTAATTAATTTTGCTGAAAAAGTGGATCAAATTATTAAACTAAAATTGCCTGATTTAAATTTCAAAGATCTTTATATACATGATAATGATTTTGCTGATATTGAAAACAATCAAAAGAATATAATTAATAGCAATAAATTGAATCCAATAAGCAAAAAAAGAACAAACATCAAACAAATAAAGGATTCTAGCATTCATCGAAGTATTCAGATTAAGAATATCGAAAATAAAATCAATAATAATCATAATAATATTGAAAATGATAACGAAAACAATGTAGTTAATCAAATCATCGACTATAATGATTTGGAAAATATTGCACCTCAATTACATTCAAATAGTGATAATTCATCAATGTATTTGTACAATTCAATTTCCCACAATTCCATTAATATGGATAATATAAGTAATTTACAAAATATAAATATGAATGATATAAACAATATAAACAATATAAATAATATAAATAACTTAAGCAATATAGATCATATGAATAGTTCTAATATTGATAATAGCTTACTACTAGCTGCTGCTGTTATGGAAGACAACATGAGTATTAATGATGACAATCTAAATAACAGTCATGTAATTTTGACAAATAAAATTGAAAATAAAAAAATATTTGAGCAATCAAGTTCTGATAATAAAAATAATGATCAATTACAGCTTCAAGCAAATGTGAACCATGATAATAGTGATAGTGATCGTGATGATGGTGATCACCATAATGATATAAACAGCAGTGTTGAAAATAATACTCAAACCAATGTCAACAATCGTGAAGAAAAAAATCTGAATACTCACAATATTTCTAATAAAGTGAATTATGAAGAGGTGTTTGAGGCTTTAAAAATATTAGAAAAATTCCATCAAAATCATTTATATTATGAAAACAGCTTCAGATTATTTCTAAATTATTCAAAAGTCTTCAATAAAGAAATTTTAGACCATATAAACAAATAGGTAATTAAATAGATAAATGAAAAACCAATTTAATCAGAGCTAGCACAACCTCTGCAACCGCAGTTTACACATTTTGTAGAGTTTTTATCATCAGTCAAATTTGCCTTTGGAACCCTACAAATACATGTAAAGCCATTATTATTGTCATTACTCATTATACATCTCAAGCAACATAAATTTTCATATCCTTTTTTTTTCCATTTTGCAATTAAATGCAAATCAGCAAATTTTTCCTTGAGTAGCCACAAATACAATTCCCTTGAAATAATCTGTCTATTGTAATACAAATCGTAGATATATCTCGATCTCTTGTGGTAGATTTTAAATATCTCCCATAGTGGTTCGTTTTTATTGACACTTTTCTTTAATTTAGTTAATTGGATCTCTTTCAACTCATCTTCAAATTCCTTCAACTGCGGTTCTAGATCTTCAAACCCTGATGGGGGTTTTCTTGTTCTGGATGTTCTGATTTTAGGCATGTCTGATATCTTTGGTGATGAAGAGCAGCATTATCACTGAAAGAGGATCTTTGGTCTGGTTTCAGAAGTGGTTTTGAAGTTTTTTATTCCGAATCGGCAGAGTCGTCCGGCACTCAATCAGCGGATAAAATCACCGTCAGCTACGAATGAATTCCGATGCAACGGTGCATTCGAACCACAAACAACATCACACATCTCCGGAACCGTCTTCCGGAGGGGACGTAAACGATGGCCACAATGGAGTTTTTCCAAGAGAAAGCAAAGCTGATTTTACCCGGTCTTTGTGAAGTGATGGTGTTAGGGTATTAATAGATTGTGACTTTCACCTACGACAATCGTTATATAATCTCAATTTTTTTGAATTCTGTTGGTTATTTTTATAGAATGGAAGCTGCTTCGTGGAACGTTGGATATCCTATATTTGGTGCCAGGTTTTTGGATGAAGATACATTGTTAGTGGCTGGCGGTGGTGGTGAAGGAAACCATGGAATACCTAACAAATTGACAGCTTTGCAAATTGATTTCAGTAGAAAGAATAAAGTCATCAAGAAATTTAGAGAATTGCAACTACCTCCAAACAGCGATTCTCCCATGAGTTTGGACACAAATGGAGAAATCATTTTGATGGGTTGCAATGAAGGTTCAGAAAAGATTAAAAAAGGCAAGAATTGTCATCTAAGAAAATATGATTACATTGATCAACATTTAGTGTTCAGCAAATCTATAAATTTATTCACCGATTTCTCAAATGATATAAATAATTATACAAAATGCTGTTATATATCTGATGATAGTTCCATTGGTTGTATATCAAATTCCAATGAGAAAAATCCACAGTTAATCATCATCAATACATCCAATAATCAGTTGAAGTTGAAATATAAAATCATTGAAAAAACGAATAATATTATTAAAGATTTGCACATCTCTCCTGATGGGAAAACAATAGTTTATATTACAAGTTCTACTTTTAAAGCAATATCAACTGTCAGTGGAAAGATTTTAATATCAAAAAATTCATCAGCTCTTTCGACCAGTTCTCAAACATTGATCTTTGCAAAAATTCGTTTCATCAATAATAACGAATTTATAATTGGTTGTAATATTAATAATAAAGGTGGAATTTCAATAGTACATTATTCAATTTTAGATCAATTATTAATTTCGAATAAATTAATCAGTAAAAAAATTAAATCAATAACTTCAATGGATTTTTGGCCAAATATTATAATTAAAGTTTATCAAGACATTAAAAACCCAGAAAAAACAATCACGAAATCTGAGATTGACATTAATAATTCATTAATTTCCATTGCTGGTAATAACTATTCAGTAATCTTATTAAAATTTAAAAATTTTAAAAACTTGTTTGAATTTAAGAAAACCCATAATTTTGTAATTACAAAAGTCACATTTTCTCCAACTGGTCAGTATTTAGCTAGTGTATCTGCTGCAAATACTATTCATGTTATCAAGTTACCTTCAAAATTTATAACCTCAAATCAAACACAAATCAAATCTAAAAATCTAAACACTTTCTTATCAATCATATTAAGTTTATTATTTGTGTTGATTTTGGCAATTTTAATTCAATATTTGATAAACAAGAAATTAATCCAACATTTGATTGATATACCTACAATTAAGTCAGAATTAAAAAAAAGAAGATAGAAATGTCATTAATAAGAATATATCAATAATTATGGATTATTAATCGGTTTTCAAATCTGGTTTTATATTTTTGTGGTTTATCTTATCTTACCTTAACTCGTTTAACCTGTTTTAACTAATATTATTCCGCCTCAACTTTTTTCATTTTATATTTTTTCTGAATTTTGTCAAGCGAAAGTTTTCTTCTAAATATTTCTTTTAAATTTTTGTTTTTGTTTTGTCTTAGTTTATACTCTTTATATATATATATATATATATGATGTCATTAAAATAAATTAAACACTTGTTTCTATTCTATGGTATAATAAACTATTCATGTCTAAAGCTTTGTCTATAATTTATCTATTGGTTTATAAACATTGGTTTATAAAACAAAAAATTCTCGGAATCATTCAATAATTTTATGGATTCAATTAATCTCAAATCATTTACTTTAATTATTTCATTATCGAAATTTTTGGTAGTCTTGTTTGAATTTGTATAAATTTCATAATTATAAGTTAGTTCTAAGACTTTATAAACAATTGATAAAGTATTATTTAGGGCGTTGACTAAAGGAATATCATCATTAATGTATTTGTGATATGAATCTAATAAGATTGATGATAAAAGATCCCCACTTCCACTAAAAATTGCTTTTATTATAGGAATCTTATAGTAAAAGATCTTTTCCTTTGAATAACCAGCAATGTAGATGTTATCATTGTCATCTTTAACTTGAATTGATGTTATTATAGCATTATCAATTTTGGGATATAATTCATGAAATTTCTTAAAAGATTTTGTCAAGTAGTCACATATGTTATTAATTGAGCTATAATTTTCGTCTATTAAGAGCTGTAACTCAAACTGATTTGGCGTGATTAAATATACCAAACCACTTTTCAATATATCTTTATAGACTGGTAAAATTTTCTCGTCGACATATGGTTTGCCATTGTCACCCATCACCGGATCCAAAAACCATTTTAAAGCATTGCTATCGTTGCTATCAAGGCTGTTTCGATACTGCATAGACTCAAAGATGATCGATAGCGTTTCTGGGCTTGGGATGTATCCAGTCAAAACAATGTCATATCTGAACTCTAGCTCATCTATCAATTGAAGCAAAATGTCTTTGATTTCGTGGTTAGGATATCTGAAGCCCTTGAAGGACTTGTAGGCTGGATGGTTTGAAAACTGGACAGTGTTGACAGAGTCCACATTCCAGCCCTTTAGCTGCAAAGTAAAGGTGCTGACTTTGTTTCCCACATAGCCATGAACGACATGGGACTGAATGCTCAATATGTTCCCCTTGGCCTCCATTGCAATTGTCGAGAAGTTGGATCAACAATAAGATTATAAGATTATAAGATCATAAGATCATAAGCTCAAGACAAAAAGAAGCAAAACTCCGAAAGCTGCTCCGATAAGGCTCGGACATCACATGCCTTTCTTGCCGAAAGTAATTCACAGACCTCTAATAATTACACGTGGTTTTGTATATCAGGGGTTTGTTCAAAAGGGGTTTGTTCAAAAGGGGTTTCTTCTTCGCGATTCAAATCTGAGAAGCACTTTCAGTACAAACAGCTTCTGGGACTGAATGGATATGTGCAGGTAATCGACAGTGATATCTGATTGACTATGTCAAATAGTTATTTTTCTTGGAATAACAGCAGCAATGGTAACAGCAATGGTACCAAAAACTTACTAACCCCAGTGATAAAGTGCTTGGAGACCGATATAATTGAAGATGGAAATGAAGTTTATGTTTTCAGAATTGGCGAGCATCGTTACATGAGAAGGAAAATTGGAAGCTGGTGCAATATATCAGAGTTTGCCTTTTTAATCACCTTGGAAAAATACAGAACGAAATTCTATAGTTATTTGGATAAATATGATTCAGAACTATTTGAAAGTTCAGGGTATCAATGGGCCAAATTAAGCGTTGTGCGAAAAATCTCCAAAAATTGTAAACTTTTTAAGCAATTAAAACCTTTATTGAGTTTCAACAGAATTGCATTGACCTCTTATTGTGGTTTCAAATATTATGAAATGTTTGTCATCTTGGATTACAATTGCAAAATTAGAATACTAAGAAGAGTAATGGGCGATTTGTTCAATATAGATCAATTGAGCTATTTATATCGTGCTTTATTTCATTCAAATTCAATCAGAATTAGAAAAGATGCTATTGAGGCATGTAAAGAGAAAAATATCTTAACCCAGTACAATGATCCAACTTTGGTTGGTGGAAATTGGATCAATATCAAATATGCAAGAGATTTCGCTGAAACTTATCATTTACATGAACATATTCATCATTTATTAGATTTTAAAGTAAATCAGATCCCTAATGATTATAAATATCCTCTAACTGATATGGAATCTAAAACCAGAAAATTTTATGTCTATTTTTCCCATGGTTATTCAAAATTTCATGGCTTTCCAATAGAATTCTCAATACCTGATGAACGACTTGAGAAAATTAAAAACTACAAAAATCTAACTTCGAATAAAGTAACAATAACAATGCTAGGCGAATATGTTACCATTAAGGGAAACGATCAAATAAAATCCACAAAAAGTTTCACAATTTATCGAAGATATAGCGATGGCTTTGTGAATTTTTCAAAAATTCTTCAAATGGCTGTATTTAAATCAATATCAAAGCTAGACGATCGAAAACCTGAAGATCCTGAAATGCATGTTGAAAATGAGTTATATTATAGAGAAAAATTATTTCGTTTTTCCAAAAATGTAGTATCCACTGAAAATAAACCAGCATTAGATGGTGTCTGGTGCTCTCCAAAAGATGCATTAATATTTTTGGATAATTTTGAAGAAGAGCATACAACTTTGTTAAACTTACTAAACAAAAAAGATTCTCTATTATTTCCATTGAATGAAAATGATGAAGATAGTGATGATGAGTTAGAAATTGTCAATCTGCTTGATCAAAATAATTTAGTTATTTCAAGTATTCCAAATATTTCAAATGCTCAAAATGCTCAAAATAGTCAAAATACTCCGAACAGTCAAAATAATCTCATAAATGATGATAACGAAGCAATTAAATCTTCTAAATCTCGGGAGAAAAATCAAAAAAAGAAAACCCCAATAATTATTAGCTTGGACGAGGATTATTCCAATATTATGGATGACATGGAAGTTGAAAGAGTGGATCTTGAAGATGAATATAATAGTTCTATGACAGACAAAATTGATAAAATGATGAATCATATTGATTTAACTAGAGCAGATGCAACAGATGACTTGATTGAAATCGATTTAATTAAAGATTTTCATGACAATGATGTTTTAAAAATGACCTTTGAATCTCAAAGTCAAAATGCTCAAAATGCTCAAAATGCTCAAAATGCTCAAAATTCAAAAAATTCAACTTATAAGAATCAAACTAAACAGCAAACAGATGTCTCCAATCAAACCACAGTGAAATCTAATTCCAAAACATCCAAGGAGCTTTCCAAAGACAATAACCAAACTTCAAATGACACAGATATTAGTAGTGACTTAAGTGACAATGACAGTGAAAGCGAAGGTGAAACCGATAATGAAGATAAATATAAAAGGGTGGATAATGTTGAAACCGGCAATAAAGATAAAAAAATCACTCAAAATGATGATTATAGTGCTCGCTCAAGTGAAATTGATCCAAGTGAAGATAGTTTGTTTCCGTATATGAAATCTCCTTCAAATAATTTAAAAAAAAGAAATTTAAGAAGAAAAAGTAAACATATAATTTCATCTTCAGATTCTGAATTAGAAGTCCAGACAAAGTTAACTGCACAGCAGCATGGAATATTTCAAACAGAAACAAAGAAGCAAAATAAATTGTTTAAATTAAATTCACGAAAAAGGCTGCAACATGAAAAGGAAAATCCATTAACAAATAAAATTGCTGAGTCCACAAAAAAACCTGAAAAGAACCAGGTGATTGAAAAAAGTAAATCAGATTCAAAACAAATGCCATATAAATTTAATATCTTTGAAACAAAATTCATTAATTTGGTAAAAAATTTAAAAAATACAATATTTAGTGATACATTTGATTATATGTCAATGGATAAAATATTTCTTGAATTAGCGACATTTAACACATTATCCAAAGATGTTTTAGATCAATCAAATGTATATGTTGTTTTTGAATTGTTGAAAAAGAAACTCATGTTTAGTAAGTATAATCCTACGATTGACTATTTGACAGAAACTTGGGAAGCAACTTCAAAAAACAACATAGAAAAAAATGTCCAAAACCCCCTCAAAGGTACTGATATTACTATAAAAAAAATGAAGGCATATAATAAAACTAATCAAATGAATTTTCAAAAAAATACTAATGATAATATTAATGATAATATTAATAGAAGAGAAAGTTTTACACTCAATAGGATAAAGGAATCCGCCAACGCAATGAGACCAAAATATCAGAATAACAATATAAATGCATTAAATATTAATCAAAAAGAAACACATAACAATGTATATTTTACAGATACTAATGATGAAAATAATCGCGTTTCTTCAGATCCTAATGACGACTATGTCCCTTCACAAAGTAGTAGTGATGATGAAAATTATTTTTCCGATTTTGATCCTGATGAAAATAAGTTTCTAACTTTAAATAAAAGTAAAAAAAACAATTCCAGATATAATGACTATTCCAATCAAAGAATTAATAAAAATAAAAACATTGACAATTTCATTAATGGAAGTAATGAGACATCTTGTAGTTTTAATAATAATGATTTTAATAAGAATAGAATGGAAAAATTTGAAGGCAATCCAATCATAAATAAGACACTAGACAATAAAGATGAGATATCAGATGATAAAGGCGAGATATCAAATGATAAAGACAAAACAAGATTTTCAAAAACGTCACAATCTTTAAACATATCTAACCAAATAGACAAAAATCAAATTTTGGACTCAAAATTCGCTCTGCCTAAACAAAACAAATCTTTAGAGAACACCATAATAAACAGTATAACTCAAAATCAAAACAAAAGTAGAAATGAAATCTCTAAAACTCAAAGAGATAATTTTTTTCGTCAGAACCCAATTCTTAAAGATATCCCGTTGGTAGGGCTTCATGAACAATCTTTTTTTAATAGTGTTAGCTCTCAAAAACCTGTATATTCAAACACAATTGGATCACAAACACTGAAAGCATTATTGAACTCTCCAGTAACAGTCAAACCCTTATTTTCTGATCCCCCAGAAAAAAAAGCAGATTCAAAAATAACATCACCTCATAAATCAGGTATCCAGGAATATAATAGAGTCGAAGTTCATTTGGATCCGAAAACTCGAATTTCCAATAAAAGAAAACCGTCATTTTTGCTGTTTCCTTCTGATAGAGAAAAACGTTTTCGAAAATTACCAACTAGAAATACCTCTGAGTCCAAAGAAAATAATAAAGTTGATAATCCGAACACAAATACTTTTAGTGATAATGAAATGGTCAAAACTCTGGATAGCAAGACAAAAAAGAATTCAGATGATGAATCTAATTCAAATATAAACATAACAACTAATACTAATGAAAATCCCCAATTAGAATCTAGAGAAAACTTAATAGCTCAGTTATCTAACAGTTTTTCATTGGAAAGTGCTGATAATACTTTGATCAAAAAGAAATTGATTGAATTTCTGAAAATTTCCAAATATAATGATAATATTTTTACTCAGTATAAAGTATCTCTGCAAGATAACTCAAAACTAAACGATTTTTTAAAAAACCAATTATTAGAAAAGAAAAATCAAATACCGTTGTTCTTTAAAATTTTGGAAATGGGGTTATTCAAAGAAGATTGAGAGCCTTCAAGTAGATTTAAAATTATGCTTAATGGTTTTGTATTATAGTTTTAGTTTACTAAACATTTTTTTTATTGTATTTTAGTTTTTGTAGATTTTTAATATCATTTGAGACGTCAGAGGTCCAGGATTTAATTAGCAAACATAAAATCGAATTAACCACAGGCAATAAAAGAAAGAAGGAGAAATAATTTGTAAATTTATTTTCAGCAATGATAAATTTTCTAATATTGAGAACTGTTAAAATTATTTGAACAGAATTGTATACTACCTGATACCAATCGTTATGGTTAAACAAATTTATAAATTTTATAAAGAAATTTATCTCATCAGGCTCGAGTTCTTTCCGAGTTTTTATTTTTAGTTCATTTAAAGAATAATAATTCAAATATCTTAAATTTATCATTGACATCAATATGATCAATAATGAATTCAAACTGTAAACCCCATACACTCTTAGTTTAGAGAAAAATGGAGCCTCGACCAACGAAATAACCAATAGCAATTTAATATAATTCTTTGTCTTTTCATAATTTATGTCATTATACAAAGAAATTAGCTCGTCTTGTTCATCCAAGTCCAAAAAATCACTGTTGTTTAACGAATCAATTCTCGAGAACTTGTCTCTCGTTGAGCCTGTGGTAGTAGTAGAACTAAATCCCAAGCTTAAAGCAGCATCTGGACTAAAACGAGCCAGTCTTCCACGACGATTGAACATTGCAAAGAAGATATTGATGTTTGTTCTTCTCATCCAGCTTGAAAACAAAGAAAAGGGCAAACTTCTGACGCCATTTGACCCGTGTCCCTGGATCAGATTGACATGTAGATAGTGCATTTCAGTGCATATGCTGTGAGCCTGATTTCTTTGAAGAAGCATCACCACATCTTGAGGAAAGAACAGTTATCGTGAGTAGCTGTTTGGGTAAATAGTCAAAGCAATAATTACATTTAGACTGCCAGATTCTTTAAAAAGTTCAGCTTCGATTTCACTTATCACTTTGAAACGCATTGTTTCTATCATTTGTTTTATGCATCTCAAATTAGCTGATCCGATCCGCTCATAGTAAACCAGCTTGATTTGTTTTCAGCAGAATCAAAAACCATTAAGAAAAGATAAAGGAAAATGTCTGTGATATTAGCTTCCTATGGTTATGATGCCACAATAAGATTTTGGGAGGCTTTGGATGGTGTGTGTTCAAGATCGATACAGACTCCTGATTATCATATCAATAGACTAGAAATAACATCTGATAAAAAATATCTAGCTGCTGCTGGGAATACAACCATAAACATCTATGATATAAGGAATAAAAACTCAAATCCAGTAAGCAAGTTGGAGGGCCATGTCCCAGGATCTAACATCAATTCTATCTCCTTTGCAACCGATAACCAATGGATGGTGTCTGCGTCTGACGATGGAACCATAAAAGTTTGGGATATCAGATCAAACAAAATTGAAAGTGATTGCAATAATGGCAGTCCAATAAATGATTTGTCTTTTAACCGTAGTTCTTCTGAAGCCATTACTTGTGATCAAGAAGGAAGGGTTAAAATATGGGACATTGGCATGAAAAGAGCAGTTCATGTATTAGAACCAGGCAATGAACATGTAAATTTGCTATCTGTTACTGCTGCTCAAGATTCCTCTGTTATCATAGCAGCTAATAAAAAGGGCCAATGTTTTGTCTGGAGCATGGATAGAAATAAAGGTTCTTATTACGGTACTAGATCATTTACAGCTCATAACACTTATATCACTCGATGTCTTCTATCTTCAGATAGAAAGTATTTGGCAACTTGTTCTGCTGATCACTCTGCAAAAGTTTGGAATCTTGACAATGATTTTTCGTTGGTTCAAAGTCTAACTGGTCATGCTGGTTGGGTATGGGACTGTGCTTTCAGTGCTGATTCTGCTTATTTAGTGACTGGTTCCTCTGATAATATGGTTCGTCTATGGGAATTGGGAACATCTAAAATAATTCGAAAGTACCAGGGCCATCAAAAGGCTGTCTGCGCTGTCGCATTAAATGATGTTTAAGTTTTATATTGTCTAATTTCAAAGATTGTTATTGTTATTGTTTCATAGTTTAGTGAATTTATCAAATTTTTGCAAAACTCTAATAACGCTTACTTTATTTCCAGATATATTGGTTTACAAAATATTAATTTTATAAGATTATACTAAATATGAATTAGAATATATGTAAATATATATGTATATATATGTGTGGGAATATGTATATGAAAAATAAACAAAACAAAACAAAACAAAACAAAACAAAGCAAAAGAAAAACAAGACTGAAAACCATTAAAGACTAGATAAAAAATATAAAAATAAGTTTTAAGTTGCAAAAAGGTAACAATTTTTTTTATATTTTTTATTTTTATTTATTTTTAAAGAAACTATTCTTTTTGGAAACGACAACATGAGATTTGGCCTGAAGTGTTTTGGAAAGCTAATCTTGAAGTAGTGTCAGTCTTGCTAACAACTTCTTGGTTGGTAGCAGCTCTAGCTTCAGAGGTAGTCATAGCATGAGATGGAACAACATCCAAAGTTGGGTTTTCTAAGAACAAGTTTCTTGGTCTTAATAATAAGGAGAATGGCTCTACTGGCATTAATGGGAAATCTTCTGGTGCTGGGAAATGGGTGATACCGAAAGTGTGGAAAAATAAGATATCAGTATTTTCAATTGGAGCATCACCATTACCAATCCATTTTCTCATACCACGAACACCTTCACCAGACCATTGTGGAACATGTTCACCAGATGGATACAACATTGATGCTTCTGGGTAGTAGTTGTTTGGATCTTCTTTGAATGGAACAACTTGAACAGATTTGTCAGCCCATGGAGCTCTCTTGGATACTAATGAACCCGGTTTGCATAATAATGGAGGACAGTGGGTAGAGACTAATTTATAAGTAGCTGGTTTACCAGAGTAAGGATGAATAGATTTTGGATTGAAAATGTCCCAACTTCTACCAGTTGAAGATTCATAGTTGGTCAATGAATCTTTAACGGTTTTGAAAACAGTTTTTTTGGCGTAGAAACCATTACCATACATGTTTTCTGGAGAACCTAATGGAGGTTCATAAGAAGCAGCATCAACAGTGGCAGCAGAGTTACCGTCACCATCGATTCTTGGGTGAACTCTTAAGGAGAACAAATGTTGATGGTTGTGGGCATTGACCATTGGGTAAACTTTTGTTCCAAATGGATCAGTGACTTCATTTTCATCGCAAACATAGGTGTTTAGAATACCAGTTAATTTGACTTCCAATTGGATAGTACCATCTTGCATGAAGTTCCAGTAGAGACAGTATTCGTAGTTGGCGGCGGTGTAAATTTGGGAGATGACCAATTTAGTGGCTCTGGTAACGATGGAAGTAGCAAAGTTGTCTCTGAAATCCGAGTGTTTGAAAAGCAAACCATTGTCTTCTTCGTGGATACAGACAGCATGTTTGACAGTGATTGGGTCACCAGCTCTGTCAACAAAGTGAGCATCAAGATAGTGAATAACACCCTTACAGTCACAACCAAGAGACAAAGGGTTTGTCATTAAACCAGCACCATATTCACCAATATCCAAGGCGTGTTTTCTTTGGTGAGGAAAATAAGGATTACCGTAAGGAACAATTTGCTCAACAAGAGAGATACGGTGGAAAAGAGGTCTGATTTTACCATGGTCATTGAAGGTGATATCAGATAAAACGATACCTTCTCTGTAGTTGAAACCAACGTGGAATTTGAAATTTGACCATTCCATGATGTTGTTTTCCATTTTGAAAGAAACACCTTCTGGTTGGGTGACATTGATTGGTTTAGCATCAGTTCTGTAGCCAGTTTTCTTTTTGACATCTGGTGGGTTGAAGTTGGCGTGAGGGTGTTTGGAGACTTTTCTTCTTCTTTGGGGGATATCAATAAAGACGACTTCGTGAGCTTCAGTGTCAACAATTGGACAGAAATCTAATGGATGGGAGTATTGGGAATCATCTTCATTTGATCTCCAGTACATAAAGGCTTGTTGTAATCTTTTAGCAGAACCCCATCTTTCATCGTAACCAATAGTCCATGGGTCACAGTAAACTTCGTGCATTTTATCAGCTGGAACACCCGAGATAACACATTGTTCAATAACTCTAGGATCTTTTCTGATGATGGATTCGGTGGTTTGTAGATCTTCAACAGTTAAAATTGGTTGGACACCTTCAGTAGTTTTTAAAGTGATGACAATAAGAGAACCGAGATCAACAACACCTTCTTGAACACCAGCAACGTTTTTTTCTAAAATAACAAAGTAAGCTAAACGTGGGGGAAGAGGGCCATTTCTTTCTTTCCAGTTAAGATAAGCGTCCTTGGTTGGTTCTCTGAGAGTAACTGTGTTGAAAGAGATGTCTTTTGTAGAATATTCGTTTTTAACAACAGAGACAACAGCTTTTAATTCGGCAATAGATAAAGGATCTAAAGGATGAGCTGGGGTTGGAGGTGGAGCAACAGAGGCAGTAGCTTGTGCAGCGATTTGTTGTAAACGTTCCATTTTGATTGATAAAAGATGTAACTGAAAATAGAAAACAAGGGATAAAGAATATTAATGAAAAATAGCAAATATGGAATATTGAGTATGGAAAAATAGTGAATATGGAGTATGGAATAAAAGAAACTATTATTACGAATGATAATGGAATAGTTAGATTTAGATTGATAGCTGTTGGTGAAGAGAATATAAAAGCAAAAGTGAAATAAATGGGGAAAAATAGAAGAGCTTATATAGTTGATTTTCCAGGTGATTCCAACCCATAGAACCATAATGGGAAAGAGGATGGTAGTAACAGAAAGGAAAGCAGACATTCAAACTGGTTGAGATTATCAGATAGCATCTCATCTTCAAATTTGTCTAATATGGGGAGACACTTTCAATACAATCGAAAGTCGATCGAAAAGAAGAATGGAAAACCAAACTCGATTAGGAAATGAAAGATATCGAAAAGCGAACCGAACAGGCGTTCGTGTGCATGGCCGGTGCTTTATCGCAGTCGCTAAGAGTTTGTGTGTCCGCTTAGTGTTTTTAGGTTCTTTTTCGAGAAAGAGCTTGATCTTGTTGAGATGAGAGAGGATGAGAGAGTATTTCAAGGGTTGGACGATGCTGGATAAGGGAGAGGCAGAGTGGTTGTCTGGTCGTTCAGTTCAGCCATTTGGAAACTGGCTCTGCAGAAAAGAAGAGGTGAAGTATCGGCCATGTAGTACAAGCAGGCCTTTTCTTTTAGAGTGGGCGTACAACGTTTGTCAGACGTAAAAAATTGATTTTTTTCGGCTTGTAAGTTTGTAGAAAGAAACTTAAAGAGTAATGAAATATAAGCAAGGGAAGAGGTTGAAGAAAAGAAATGGTTACTGTAAAAGGATAAACATAAAAATGTTTGCAAATGTTTGCAAATGCTTGCAAATATTTGAAATACTTGTTGATGTTTGTGAAAATTAACACTAGACGCACGAATTTTTCTCCAGATCAAAGTTGTTTTTTGCAAAAATAAACAAAGTTTATTGGTTTTCAGAATTTGTAGCTTCGTTGCATTGGGCCTTTGATTGCTGATAGTGCATTTTGTGTTTGATATCTGAAATCAGCTTGGGATTTGGGGATGTTTTTTGAGGGAAAGAGCAGTCGGTTCGCAAGCCCGGTATCTGGAGGGCAGACGCTAGTTAAACCACTCCGCTTTTCGAGATTCTCCCGTTCTGATACGGGCTTTGATGGTTGTTTTTACTTTCCGCATCGGGAAGGCATTAACAGAAGTTAAATCTGAGATGAGATAAATAAATACAATTTGTGATCCAGCACTTTATTATTATCGCACTTGAAAAATCCAACCGACAATTAGAGATGCAGATTATGAAAACTTTGAAATTTGTTTCTTGCAGACCAAATCAAGATTCGATTGTGTATATATATAAAATAAAAAGGAAAGAAAAAGCATTGTTAACAACATTTAACCCAATGAAGCCTTTATTCTTTAGTAAAATTCAAAAGATTGTTGTTTAGTTCTTCCTCTGAAATATTTATTGCTTTTGTTTGTTTGTTTTTTTATTTTCATTAAATGAACAACTAAATGAACAACTAAAATTTTCAGCAACAAAATAAAAAAAACAAATTCGTTCGATTTAACAAAAAAGAAAGTGGAACCACCATATCTTTTTGTCCTTATCGCTTCTCCTCTTATCGACGGTGACCATGGTTGTGGGTTCATGTCTCTCCTCTCATTTGAATGTTGGCTCCATCTTCACGGAATCAATGAATAAAGTTGATGAATAGCTTACCAATGTTGTTAATTAAAACAAGACCTTGTTGAGCACTATTCATATTGGAAATGTTTACATATTATCGTCAACAATCGCAATCAACAAACGCTGCTGATTTATCAATGTGTAAATGAACTTGTAAGTCGCTATTATCAAGTCTGGTAGTTCTTTGAATAAAAGAGATTTAATAATTAAATGAATCGCTGCTATTTAACAATAAAATATATATTCATCTACATAATGTTGAACTGGTAAAACCACCATCAATTGAAAATGGATGATAAAACATCGCAGATGAGAAAAAGCTTAGCGCAGTGGCCGGATGCAGGTATTAATCATCTTGTCCAAATCCATATATCCTGGGCTGATCCACAGGACTTGATGATTTGATAAAACAAACGCTTTTATTTGCTTGAAATTAAAAAATTACAAAGCTAGCTAATGAATTGAATAGAATATCAAAAAACCTATTGTCCTACTAAAATATCGTGTTTTTGAACATCGTTATATTACACCCTGTGATTTTTGGAGGCTTTTCGAGACTAGCCTTGTTTGGTTGTATAGTGTAGTGGTTATCACTTTCGGTTTTGATTGTTCAAAGATTCCGAACAACCCCGGTTCGAATCCGGGTACGACCTGTACTTTTTTGCAATAATCTTCCTAAACATTGACAACAAGGTGTGTGGGAACTACATCAAATGAATATAATAATAACTAATTGAACAGTGAATTAATCAATGGCTTTTAAATTTGGCTAAATTATCGATAGTACATGCTTCCTGTTGTTCCCAAAACCTTAAATTGGAAACAATATCAACTTTGATATATATGAGCAAATATGACCCAATCCACAAGCTTTTGAACAACAATAGGAAACTAAACAGAGAAAGTACATATTTCTTTCAGACGTCCTCGCTGTTATCTATTGTAATGAGTTTTCAATTTACAATAAAGTTAAACTACGATCACATTGTTAAAAAATAAGCTAATTTGATGCATCTAAATTTTACTTGATGAGATGTTGCTTGCAACTATATATGTCTTTGTTGATCATCCAGCCGTATTGCTGTCCACGCATCAAAAGTAGCACATGGAGGATTTACAAAGTAGAAAACAGCACATCCCTCATGGAAGAGGCAAAGAGTGCTCTCCGTCAGCAACGCGTCTCGCTGCGTCACCGACGGAGCTTTCCCAAACCAACATCTTTGACCCGGTTTATGCACGTGTGCATCCACATCCGTGTCACGGTTTGTGTTTCCACCTCAGCGGTTATGCACGGTGGTTACCCTACTCTGTTTTTTCAGTGAAGGGCTTTTCTTCTCACTTCTTGAGAAGCCTTTTCTTATCAGTATCTCAAAACACACCAAACAGCATCTTCAACTCCTCGTCTACTCTTATTCCACTTCTTCTTCTGTTCTTCTCCAGTTCTCCTTCAGTTTTTTTGTTGTCCACCATATACCAGACACTCTACTGCATCTTCTTTATGTGTCTGTTCCCAGATACTCTTTACTGAAGGATCACACCACAGATAGCGGTTTTCTACCACTTGGATATAATCCCTATCAACCAACAACCACACACTGTTTTGCTAACCACCAATTCAAATTATGAGCAAGAACAACCAGCCTCGTCATCCCTTTTCTATATCTTCCATCACAAACCATCCCACACAACCAAAGACCTCTTCTCACTACCATCTTTCCTCCCAACAATTGGATGATCCCAACTTTCGCCAGCTCCACCCACCTCCTGACTCATCTTCCATATCTCTAGAGCAGCAAAGACTGCAATTGCTGTCTCAACAACTGCAGCAGTCAAGAAACCTTCAGCAACCACACCAGCTTGATCTTCGTCAGCAACAACACTCATTGCAATCTTTGCAGTCTTTGCAATCTTTACAGTCTTTGCAGTCTTTCCAAAATGCTCAACAATCCACTCAATCCCAATCTCATGTAAAGCAAATTTCTGTTCAACATCTCTCTAATCAGAGCTCAAACCAAAATCAAAGCCAAAATCAAAATCAAAATCAAAATCAAAATCAAAATCAACTTCTTCAACGTTCCGAACAAGAATCTGCTTTCAAAACACTTAATTTTGATGATGCCATCTTGTATTTAGATCAAGTAAAACAGCAATTTCAAGATAAACCTGATATATATAACACTTTCTTAGACATCATGAAGGACTTCAAATTTCAAACAATAGATACTCCCGAGGTTATTAATAGAGTATCTACCATATTTCATGGCCATCCAAATCTAATTCAAGGCTTCAACGCTTTTTTGCCTCAGGGCTATAAAATTGAATGCTCCAATGATCCTTTAGATCCAAACCCAATCATAGTCACTACTCCAAAGGGCTCCATTTCTGTTCCTGATATTTCAGTTTACTCAAACAATAGCAAGCTAAATAGCATTACCAACAACAATAACAACAACAATAACAACAATAACAACAATAACAGCAATAACAACAATAACAGCAATAACAACAATAACAGCAATAACAACACTTTTAATAAAAAAATTAACACGAATAATATGAATATCAATAATCTTACCAACAACTCTTCTCCCAGCCTCAATAATATCAATCATCCCACAAATTTTAATAATGTAAATAATATTAACAATCTCAACCATCCCAGCAATTTTAATAACATAAATAATCTTGCCAACATCACAAACATGGCCAACCTCAATAATTCCAACAACCTTTCCAATTTCAATAATTCTAATAATTCTAATAATTCTAATAATCCTAATAATCCTAATAATCCTAATAATCCTAATAATCTCAATTCTAACCTATCCAATAATGGCCAGCAATATTCATCTCTACTTTCAATAAAAACTGAAATGCCTGAAAATAGATACTTGAACATCGACAATATAACAAACATGCCCATAATTAACTACTCTCGTTCTCGTTCTCCATCTCAACCCCAAATGAACGACGCTATTTCCTACGTTAATAAAATAAAAGTCAGATTCTCTAATAAGCCCCAGTACTATAAAAGATTCTTGGAAATCTTACACACCTACCAAAGGGAGCAAAGACCAATTGAAGATATCCATTCTGAAGTTATTTCCTTATTTAAAGATGCCCCTGATCTATTAGATGATTTCAAAAAATTTATTCCCTCCTCCGCCATCACAAACTCTCTAAATAACAGTAATAATAATAATAATAATAATAATAATAATAACAACAACAACAACATTAATAATAGCATCAATACCATTAATAATCTTATAAACAACAACATCAACCTTTCCTCTAATCAACCACAAAATTATTACGATCAGCTTCACTCTCAACAGAGTCAATACACTTACTCTGACTCCGATTACAACTCATTAGTGCCTCCCTCCATCAACGACAGTGAACTTAATAACAATGATTCTAACATCACTCGAACAACAACTCCTCCAAACAATCTAGAATTACCACCCGTCGGAAATTTTCCTCCTCCTTCAGCTAAAAAAAGAGAAAATCCCTCTGCTGCTTTTTTAAATAATCCAAATGATGAGCCTCCAATTTCAAATGAAAGAAATTTATCTGCCTCTCAAAATTATTACTATATTCAATCCCAATCCCAATCTCAACCTCAATCTCAATTCCAATCTCAATCTCAAGCACAAGCACAAGCACAAGCACCAGTACAAGCACAAGCACAAAAACAACTACAAAACAAATTTCCACAAAATAACCAACAATTACAATCTTTACCTTTATTATATAAAGGTTCTCTGGATATAGCATATGACTCTTATCAAAGCTCTTATCTGGATTCAAACAAATTACAACAAAATAAATATTCAATCAATAATCAAAACTTGTCTGACGAAATCTTTCATTTCAATAAAATCAAAAATGCAATCAACAATATATTATCATATAACAATTTCATGAAACTAATATCTTACTATAACAGTTCCTTAATAGATTTTGACACCTTAATGGAAAGATCTCATAACTATATTAGTTCACAACCTGATTTATTTTCTTGGTTTAAAAATTTTATGAGTGGCGGTGATGATTCATCATCAAAAATCGAAAATACTGACAAGACTAAAAATAAACCCTTCAAAACTAAAACCCAAGATAAAAACAAGATAATCATCGAAAATTCTCCTTTGAATCCTGAAAAATTTAAATTAACCTTGTATGAAAAATCTACTCCAAGTTATGTTAAACTCCCTAAAGATATAACCTTGAAAAATAGATCAAGGCTTGGTAAAATGCGTCAAGAGGTTTTAAATGATGAATACGTATTATTGCCTAATTATTATCATTCAAATGACTCTAATAAGTCTTCAACAAAAATAATCCCTATAATTAATTCAAGAAAAACAACTTATTCTAATAGATATCAAGACCATTTACAGGAAATTGAAGAAGAACGTCATTCTTATGACTACTATATGGAGACAAGTCTCAAAACCTATCAAACCCTCGAAAATATTGGCCATAAAATTGCTGCGTCATCTCCTGACAATAAAGCTGAGTTTAACTTGGCAGATGATCCAATTTTTTCATCCCAGATTAATAAAAAAATTATTCAAAAGATTTATAGAGATAAAGATGTTAGTGACTGGATCATAAAAAGATTGTACGAAAAACCACAAGTTGTTATTCCAATTGTATTAAGAAAATTAAAACAAAAAGAAGAAGAATGGAAGAGATTATATAGAGATTGGAACAAAGTCTGGTATGAACAGGAAAACATTTATTTTAAAAAAAGTTTTGATGTTATAGGAGAAAATTTTAAAGCAAAAGATCAGAAATTTTTCAAGACAAAATCCTTGCTAAAAGAATTATCAGATAATAAAATATTAAAGATATCAGAAAATGCTATCAATCCACTAATTAGTTCTATAATTGGTTTAAATGATGGAATCCGAGATAATAATTATCATTTTATCAGTAATAATATTGATCTTTTAAAAGATAACAGCAAGCCTTTATTTACATTTTTTAAAATCATAATTTGTTACTTGAAAAAAGATTTGCTATTGTTGAATGAAGAAGATTTTCATAGTAGAAATAATAGAACAATCCGCACTCAAACTCTAATTAATATCAAAAAAAACAACAGATACTCATTAGATGATCATGAAAACTTTAAAGTTTTTTTTGTGGAGCTTTTAAAATTGATATTTCATATACCAAATGATTTATATAATAAATTGTATGAAATGATTGAAGTGAGTAATGAACAACGGTATGGAACAAAAATTGATAGCAGTGATTTTCGTGCAGCTGAAAGTCTTGTAAATTCAAATATGGGAAAGATTTCAAACTCCAAAAAACGTTTGTTTAAGGATATTGATAAAGATAATTTTTTGGAATCAATATTATCAAATCATAGTGGTGCCAAACGTACAAGTAAACAAGGTGAATTCAAAACAATTTCAAAAATATCCAATAATTCTGATGTATCCAACAATAGTGTCAAAGTCTCTGATGAATTAGAAGAAATTTGGATAAAACTAGTTGAAAGAGCTAAAGTTGCTTCAGAGGAACCAACTGAATTACAATTAATTGATAGTATCAAAAATAAAATGTTTTGTAATCAAGATATCTATATTTTATTGAGAATCTTTTTAATCATTTTTGAAAGATTTCAAACTTTAGCTGAAAATTTTTCGGAAAGTGACCAAATTGAAATTGTTGAATTAATTGAAAATTTAATCAATGAAAGAATCAATAAGTTTGAATTTGAAGAGACTTTAATGGAAAAATATAAGGGAAAAGAATTTTTTAAATTTTATACAATTGATGTGCTATTGGAGAAATTTTTTGGTTACATGTTTAAAATAATAATAAATCAAAAGTCATCAGATATTTTATTAGCGTATAGAGAGATTTCAAAAACTGATGATAAAGATATTAATTTGGAAAAATTTACAAATTATGAAAAAGATATCAGAGCTATTATTGGAAATGAAGAGGATTTATTTAAGATTCATTATGGTTCAAATGAGTTTAAAGTTGAATATATTTCTTCCGATGATATACTATTAGAATTTATTAAAGAAGGGGATAAAACGAAATTTGAAGAGTATATAAAATCATATGTGAAATTAGTTCCCACGGAAGGTATTTCCACGATTAAGATTAAGTTGCCATTTTTTTCTAAAAGTTTGATCAGTGGTGAAAATTCCGATAATGAGAAGAATGAAGAAAATTTTGCAGATTTCCAATTGAAAATTAGAGTGTCACCAATAACATATACATTATTTTTTGAAGAAGGATCATGGGACGAATACACTAATGGGAAAGTGTACAAAAATTTGAAGAAAAATAACAATCAGATTAAAAAAAGTGTACAAAAGTTGGAAAGTATAATTAATGGTAAATATGGGTGGAAAAGAAATGTTAAAAACCCTGATTTTTTTGAAGAACGATTTCGATTTTTAGAAAAAGAAGGATTGAACGATTATGATAAATTTAATATCAAAGGAAATGGAAACAAGATGCGAGATATTTCGAATCCTGTTTTATTGCATCTACGAAACATTTCAAATGGAAATATCAATAGCAATAGCAATGGGAATGTGAATGTGAATGGGAATTCTAGCTTGGTAATAGGAGATCAAGATCAAACACTTGATGGTGATTCTACCATTGACAGTACAATTAATGATAGTAAAACAGAAAATATCGTTAATGATATAAGTATGATAACGGATGTGAATAGCAATGTTATGAGTAATTTGAAAATAATGAATGAAGATGAAGTTAAACAAAAGAGTTAAGTTTTTAGTTATAATTTATTTTTTAGTTCAGTTCAAAATTGATAATGGAATATTTTTTTTATTTTTATTTTATTTTTTTGTTTTTTTTGTTTTTTATTTTATATTTTTTATTTTATATTTTTTATTTTATATTTTTCTTTTATTTATGCAATTTTGTTTTATGTCAATTCTCTCTCTCTCTTTTTGATTAAATTAATTAGCCAAGCTATTCTTTTTTGATGAATATATTATTTTATATATTTGTGTATGTGATTAAAGTAGATATAATATATATTAATAAATAGATAGGAATATTGTTAAGTGATATTAAAGTAATAGGCAGGTAGTGGTGATGGGTAGGTAAAGTGGATGAAATAGACAAAGAAAAAAAACTCAAAAAGAAATAGAAATCTTGGTAAAGAAATCTATAAATTTGTTTAAACAAAGACAAAGAGCATTTAAAAAAAGTAAACACAAACACAAGATAGAAGAAGAAGAATAAGAATAAAAATTTAAAAATTTAAACTATTGAAAGTAAACATAGTAATTATAATTAGGTTTAATCAAAAAAAAACAAAAAAATAGAGAAAAGGAAAAAAAAAAAGAAATAAGAAAATCAAATCATATGTTCCAATTCATGATTAACAGGCAAGTTTTGATTATTGATTAATTTTTCCCACCATTTGAACAAATATGCTTCGCAGATTAATTTGAACCAAGGAGTGAAGATGATGCTTTCATCTTGGAACATTTGTTTCAATTCTGTAATAGAGACGTATCTGTAGTCTTTGATTTCGTTCCAGTTTGGGTTTAAAGGTGGGTTATTTGATTTGATGAAGAGTATGTAGTCAATTTCGTGTTCAGCCCAGTTGGTATCATTTGGATTTGGAGCCATGTAGTGGATTCTGGTTAAGAATTTGAATTTTTCAATTGGAACGAAACTGGGATCGATCCCTAGTTCATGAAATAGTTTTCTTTGAGCAGCATTTTTGGCACCGAGGATTGATTTTTCTAGGGTGGAACCAAATTCAGATGGGGTTAGTAGAGGATGAGAGCAGCAGGTATTTGTCCACATATTGGCAAAGGTGATTTTTTCGTCAGCTCTTTGTTGTAGGAGTAGTTTGAATTGGTTGTCTGAGCTGTTGAAGAGGAAGACCGAGAAGGCTCTATGGAGGAGGCCACGATCAATGTTTGATTTGATGTGGCAGACTTTTTTTGTTGCACCACCTAAGGGAGTGTCGTGGTAGTCAGCGACAATGCAATTTTCGTTCATTAGTTTGATTTGTTCTTGGTCATGGCCCTGGAAGAGGAGTGAGTCTAGTTTGGAAGGAGAGGAAGAGGAAGAGGAGGAAGAGGAAGAAGTGGGAGGAGAGGAAGGAGATAGAGATAGATCATTGGATAGTGGGATTATGTCGTCTTTAAAGAGAGATAAGATGTCATTGGGAGATAGAGATTTGACCAAATCGTTGTAAGATTTAGAGCCATCGACAGTGTGGGAGATAGTCATGATGAGGAAACGAGTAGGCGAGTGAGTGAGTAAGAAGAGGTATAATTCAAAGAGAAAGAGAAAGAGAAAGAGAAAGAGAAAGAGAAAGAGGGTTTTTATATAATATTTGGGAAAGTATAAGAAAGAAGAAAGAAGAAAGTAGAGTGAAAAAAGGAATTTATACACAAATCAAAAGAGAGTTGGAATTCGTTTAAGTGAAAAATTCGAGGAAGAGCGAAGGGTCGTATTTCGTTTGGTGATGAAAATGGAAATTATTCGCAGTAGATATATATACAAGATAATAGGTTGTGTGTATTTAGATAGTGTATTTACTTGGGAAGATATTTAGTGTAGGATAAGAGAAGAGAAGAGAAGAGATATAACGAGCACAAGTGTTGGTTAGCGTCTCATGTTTTGCATCAATTTCTGGTTCTCTTCCTGGAATCTTAAACCAACTCTTTCGCTGTGCTTTAGGAATTTTTCAGTGCATTTCAAGACACAGCTCTCTTCTTTGCCAGATAGGTTTTTGGAAGTGAAATCAGTGACACAGTCAGTGAAGCATTTTTCCACCAAGTTTGAGTAGAGCTGTAGGACGATGGGTTGGGATTGTTAGTATATCGTTGGGTTTGGGAGGTTGAGTTGTGTGGATCATTGAGGATGGTGATCAGGATACATACACGCATGAAGTCCTTCATTTGCTTCTGTTCAACCAAAGAGTTGAACTGTTGTTGTTCACGAGAAGTCAACTGGTCCATTTTTGAGTGTGATAGGGGAGAGAGGTGGAGAGAACAGGGGAATTGGGGAGGCGACTGTGGTGATTGTGGTGGAATTGGTGGAGCTGGTGAAGATGAAGGAATTGCTTTGGAAGAGTTGAAGAAATTTGCCTTTCGTTTCCGTTGCGGCGGATGCGGAAATCCGGGACGGAAAAACAGAGGAGGAAAAAAAGAAGAGGAAAAAACGAAGACGAGGTACAATTGATGATACTGCTTCTTATTGCTGTCGATTCTTGGTGCAGTTGATTCTTATTCCTATTGATTAGTGGATACTGGTGGTAGATAAGAATGGCGTTGTTATCGTACTTAGAAAGAGCAGAGGCGCACTCTTCTCCGTTGGTCAAAAAGCTCTTTGGGATCATGCAAAGCAAGCATTCCAACTTATGTGCCTCCATCGACGTCTCGACTACAAAGGAGTTTCTTGCATTGATCGAGCAGTTGGGACCGTATATTTGTTTGGTTAAGACTCACATCGACATCATCAACGACTTCTCGTACGAGAAAACCATTGCACCGCTATTGGAGTTGAAGAAAAAACACAATTTTTTAATCTTTGAAGACCGGAAGTTTGCAGACATCGGCAACACAGTGAAGCACCAGTACAAAGATGGCATCTACAAGATCTCGTCGTGGGCAGATATCACCAACGCTCATGGAGTCACTGGCGAGGGAATCGTGAGAGGGTTGAAGGAAGCTGCAAAAGAAACAACGAGCGAGCCCAGGGGTCTTTTGATGCTTGCAGAGTTGTCGTCGAAGGGCTCGTTGGCGAAGGGTGAGTACACCCAACAGACCATCGCCATTGCGAAATCCGACAGGGAGTTCGTGATCGGTTTCATCGCCCAGAACTACATCAACGGCTTCGACGAGGGCTTTGACTGGGTGCTTATGACCCCCGGCGTGGGGTTGGACGACAAGGGCGACGCCCTCGGACAGCAGTACCGTCTGGTTGACGACGTCGTGTTCGGGGGCACTGATATCATCATTGTGGGCCGAGGCTTGTTTGGTAACGGCAGAGATCCGGCTGTCGAGGGTGAGAGATACCGTCGTGCTGGGTGGGAGGCATACCGCGCCCGGAGTGCCCTTTCCGGCTAAGCAACCCGTGCTGCTGGCGTCGTTTTTTTGTTGGAGCGCTGGGAATTGTTGGCCGCATTCCGCGTGCTGATTGGCCCGTACGATCCAGCAGCATTTTTCACGTACTCTGCTATCTTATATAATCTGTCCATATTCATCCCATCTTATTCTCTTATCCTCTTCTTTCTCCCCAACTGCTTCTTTGCAACTCCCATCCACTCATCTTCAGCAATGCGTCCAGAAGTCGAACAAGAACTCGCTCACACCCTTTTGATTGAGCTTTTAGCTTATCAATTTGCATCTCCTGTCAGATGGATCGAGACTCAGAAGGTCATCTTTGAAGAGAAAAAGATCTCCAAGTTTATCGAAATCGGTCCATCTCCAACTTTGGTTGGGATGGCAAAGAGAACTCTCAAAAATTATGAACCTTTTGATCAAGCCTTGAACATCAATAGAGAATTGTTAAGTTACGCAAATGACCAAGCTGCCATCTATTACACTGAAGCCCCAAGTGCTCCAAAGGCTGCCGTCGCTGCTGCCTCAAAGAAAAAAGCAATTAAATCTGATTCTGCTCCCAAGCCTAAGCCTGCTGCTTCAAGGGCTCCTGCTCCTATTGCTGCTGCTCCCGCCCCTGTTGCTGCCGCTGCTCCTGTAGCTGATCAACCATTGAAAGCCACCTTTATTTTACAAGTTATTGTTGCTCATAAATTGAAGAAATCTCTAGCTGACATTCCAATGTCAAAGACTATAAAGGATTTAGTCAACGGTAAATCAACCATTCAAAATGAAATTCTTGGTGATTTGGGTAAAGAATTTGGCTCAACTCCCGAGAAACCTGAAGATACTCCTCTACA